TTGTTAAAATTTATGAAGTTAAGTAGAGCACCTCGGTTTATTTTAAATGAGTCTCTAATAGGTTATGCTAGATTAGGTGCATGTCCCATGTTGTACAAGCTGTGACAGGTTTCTTTACTAGTGTGTTGAAAAAATAATAATAATTGAGAACTTTTGGGCTGACATAAACTATGAGTACTACAAAAATGGCATGCCCTGCATGCTTAAGGAAAGCCTATCTGTTACTTTCTTAGCATAAGCAATCATAAACATCCCCTGGCTCTGTCCCTGTCATGAAACCAGAAACCAAACTGGCTGAGAGGGGGAAAAAAAGAGGAAGAGCTTGCAAATGGTGCTTCAGAGTTCTGGTTTGGTCAGAGTTTACCTGGGATTTTCCTCTTCTCACATTTTAGGGACTTTTCCCCCCCAAAGCAGACCTTTCATCTTTGCATTTTGCTTCTGTGATCTTTGTTTATGGTAGAAGTGTGGCCAGCACAGGGGTGGTGGTGTAGCAGGGCTGGCACGGCGGGGACAGCAGCCGACCGGAGTCTTGTTTTCCTGTCAGAACTCCCCAAACGAGCAGGAAGCAAAACTTGCATTTTTAAATCCGAGCAGGTCTCACTGCGCAGGTTTGCCTCAGGTTAAGCGTGGATGTGCGCTGGGACGCTGCTTCTCAAAACCTGTGCGGGTTTCGTGTTTTCCCTTTGCCCATTAAAATATTTTATGAATGGAAAATAAAGGGTGCTGGGTCCATGGGGTCCAGCTGGGCAGCACATGCAGGCAGCAGCTTTCAGGCAGCTGAGGGCATTTCTCTTGGCAGGCACGGCAGCTCTGCCATGCATCTCCTCCGTGTCACAGTGCGTCTCTTTTGGGAATTGCGGCAGCTCTGCCAGGAAAAATTTAGATGTGTCCCGCTGAGAGCGAGAAAACTGTGTTGGGGTAAAAAAACCCACAAATCCCTTGGCTGCTCAGATAAGGAGCTGAAGCAGTGTGGCATCTATAGCCTTGTTTGAGCTCAGGTGAGAAGTTTTCTTAAAAATAGCCCAGTGGAGCTTGGAGGCAGCATCTGTTGTTGTCTGACGTCTTGAAGTATCTCCCAGCTGACGCTTTTATCCTCTGTTTCCTTATTGCAGCGAAGCTCTTCTTGTGTTTCGGGGTATTTTTGTTGAGGGGAGGCCCTCAGCAGGGCCAGGTGCAGATGTCTGGGCTTTACAGGAGGCTTCGGAGCCAGGCGGGCTTGCCCAGGCTCCTCCTTCCACAAGAGTGAATTAACTTCTTCCTTCTGGTTCAAGGAGGATTTGTAAATAGTTTCTAAAGCATTTAATTTATGCCCCCGCCTTTTCTTTCTTTGATTTTTGAGGAGTACAGAGGCGTGAAGGGGTTATTTAACAATGTTGTACATTTGTCTTTTTTCCTTAGAAAAGCTAGGACTGTTGGGCATGAACCACTTTTACAAAGGGGATCTTGGCCATGGCAAGTTATAGGCAAGAACATGAGTTTTTACCAAATATTTTTCTCGCCCAAATTTTCATTAAGTCTTAATAGTTTCATAGCCAAACCAGAAACAAAATTATTTTGAATGACCCGCCTTTAGAATTTCGTCTCCCTATTTTTTTAACTTTTCATCTTTCTGATACTAAAATTTTGTAAGTGCTTCATCGGTGTATGAGAAAAAAAAAAAACTTTCTGTGGGCCCAGATCTGTTTGTTGACCTAATCCAAAGAAATGATGTGCGGGTTTTGGCAATTGTGGGTGCATGGTTTTGTTTTTGTGCCTGTGTGCACTCAGAATCCCTAGTTTCCCGGTTGTAACCCTAGCATGAAGGATGAATCATTGTCCCCCTCTGCTGGTGGTGCACCGGGCTGGGGGTTTGCTCACCCTGCCAACTAGCTGACTTACTCTGCAACTGAAATACAGACTTTTAAGAAGGTGGCAGGTATGTGTGTATACATTGGTCAGAATTTTAAATCACCAGAGAAACCTTTTGCTTTGGCAAGTGCTCAAAAGGCTGTAAGGCATGTGGAGTTAACAAGCAGAATCTTGAGATTGGGCTGTCCTACCTTCCCCTAAATATTTTGCAGCATGTGTCACAAAAGACTCTTTCCACCATGAGAAACAGAAATCGGGTGAAGAGAAAACGTGCTTTGAAAAAAGCAAATTCTGTCCTGTCAGTCAGACTCCCAGCAGAGACTGAGTGCATCCCTGTTGTCTTACGTCGTGTCCCCTGGAGTAGTGCTGCTCGAAGAGGATGGGTTAAGTGCTGAGAAGTGCTGAAAGAATGAGCAGGGGAAAGTGGAGCTTGTGGTGCAGGAAGAGACCAGTGGAGCATGGTGCAAGCAAGCAAAATGCAGTCTGAGAAAGGATACAGCTGGTATCTGTAAGTTGATTAGGGAAACATTCACAAGGGAGGGAGATAATCTGCAGAAGATACACAAAAACAGTGGTCCACTGAGGCTCTGAAACCTTGTAAGCGGCAGAGGATAAAAATCCCCTTCAGATTTCTGAGATGAAGCATGAGGGGTGTGTAATGTGATGCCTAAGATTGCAAGAGACCTAATGTAATGGCCACGGGGAGCTCTGAGTCACGCACATGCGACTGTGGTGAGCCTCGCACGGGGGACAGTCGCACGGCTGCCAGTATGTGCCTGCAGGCAGCGGGGTCTAGAGGAGCAAAGGGCTGCCGTAATGCTGTCCTGGCTGGCACCAGGTGCCATGACCTGTACGTATGATAATATTACTGTGTAGGACTGGTAAAAGATGCTACTGCTGAGACAGAGCAGGAATTTGTCTTGTTCAAAGGAGACTTTTTTGGAAGATTAAGATGCATTTTTAAAAAGGTGAATTCCTGACATTTAGCATGGGAATATCTGGAAAACTTGTTAGTAAATAGCAAGTTAGAGATTGGATGTTGGTTGGTTTGGTTCATCCCCCAAAGCATATTGTAAATAAAGCAGCACCTAAGGTTTTTTTTTGGATTCTGGGAATTGCTGCTGCGATTAGAAACAAGAGTACGAGCTATTAAGCAAAACCAAAGAACGCTGTGTTGAAAAGCAACAATTTTGATTTATGAATCTGCGAGAAGGCAATGTTTTTTTATTTCCTTTCACATTTTAAAACGTCTGGACAATCTTTTTAGTATTATGCCTACACAGACATTAAAATATATTGAGTTTCAGTTATAAGATATGTTGTTTAAAAGGGAGTATTTTCAATTAGATTAAAGCTAATATCTTTAACCTTTCACATTTAAATTTTATGGTGCTGTGCAGAAATAATTACTGGCTTGTCTATGTGTTCCTGTAATCATGCTCTCAATTACTTCTCCCCCATATTACTGCTGAGGGAATATGTCTGGAAACTCAAATTTAGCATTAAAGTGGCATGGATGGAAGGAACATGCAATTTAATTGTAAATGTGTGCTAGGCTGTTAAATGTTATTTTTTTGTATGATAGTATCACGTTTGCTGGGCACTTTCCAAGCACAAGGGCAGTTTGTGTGGCATTGTCAGACTTTCTCCAGACTAAGCCTAAGGCTTATAAAGCACTATTCATTGAAGTCTGCTATATCAGATTAAGGCCTAATGCTGTTGCAGCAAAACCAATACACATTTAGTTCAAGTACATTTTGGCAGAGATAGGGGAGAAGAGAAAAAGGAGGGATGGAGAATACAAATGGAGGAGTCTTTCAGCCTCAGATGAGTGATGGATGATGTATACCAAACCAGCAGTACTGTCATGTTCAGTTTAGACACGTTTTGTCACATTTAGTTTACTGTCGCACTTCATTAGTGACTACCCCAGGAAAAGCTGGTGGGACGCTTGGTTTCCCCTTGAGAGCGTGGAGCCGTGGCTGATGGGCAGTGACGTGGGACCAGCGCCAGAGCATGGGAGTCTCTTTGGAGATGCAGAATGGAGTCCCACATCCTCCTTCTCTTCAAGAAGTCCAGACTCCTTCCTCTTCTGGCTTATTCCCACGCCAGTGGGAGAGGAGCAGCCTGTCCACCTTTGGAAAGAAACATACACCCATGCCTTTCAAGCATGCAAGCATCATCTTTCACTGATGCTCTTACCATCAGGACTGGGATCAGGGAGACGTCTTACCAGTGCCCACTCTTTCCCCACCTGCTTCTTGAGTATTCCTGTAGTGTCTCATTGATTTTACAGTCCTGGTATCAGACAATACTTTAAATAGAAGCACTGTCACACCTACATTAAAAAAAGATGGTATTGAAGTTTTCCCGGTTTGCTTCAGGTGGTAAGGATAGCCTCTGACTTTGGGTGGGAGTAGTTTTGCAAACCAGCCCCAGAATACTGATGTGGTTTGTGGTGTTAGATAAGGCTTAAAAAAAACAAGTAGGCTCTTGGAAGGTGCCCGTGTTGCTTGAAGGTACTGAAGGCATGGGCTGCACTCGTTGTGAACAGGGTTCCTCTAAGAGAAATATGACCCTTGCAATGATGCTCTCTTGAGTAGCTTCCTTATTCTCTGCCGCCCACCCAAGGCTCTGCACCTTTCATAGAGCAAAGGAGAATAAAACAGAGAAAAAACCTGATAATCTGGAAGGGGAAGAAACAATAGACACTGGGGAAGAATTGGAATTAGCAATATGTAGTTAAAAATGTGAAGAATGAAGTGACTTCAAAAGCCATGAAGGAGATAAAGCAAAGAGCGGAATGCTGCTTTGGTGTCACAGCTATGGATTGCAATGAGTACAACACTGAACTGATGGCTGGTGCTCTGAAAATATGAAAAACCCCCAATGAATAACTGAGGCTTCCCCCCCTGGTTTTTGTTTGCGTCTCAGCCAGTGCACCGAAAGAGCCAAAAGAAATGAGTAGACTTACATAGACTCCTAGATGCTTGCTATGACTGTCTTTGGTTGAGACTAGATCCATATCTCAATTATATTAATGGAAAGATTCCCTTGGATTGCAAGTGCCGTTTTATCAGCCTGACCATATATTTTGTGCCTCAAACTGTACAAAGCCATTCCTGACAATTTTTTTTTTTTTTTTTTGTCAGCCAGAGTCAAGTTGCTCTTGGAGAGCACGAAGATAATCCATTTCAGTTGTGTAGAGGATCAGACAGTCACATAAATGCAGGTGCGTTGGCTTTTGAGGTTTGGTTTTTGTTTGTTTGTTTTTCAGTGGGAGGATTAATTTCATAAACTATAGAATTGGTGGTTTGGGCTTTTGTTATTAATTGAGCTCAAGCTTAGTAAAACATGGAACGCAGACCCCATAATACCCGGAGTGTGTGTTCATCTATTTCCTTTCGGCTCTTTCTATTTAAGCACCGGGTATAAAATGCAAAACGCATTTTCTTTTGAGTCAGAGCTGCCTTGTATGCATTCTTGGCAGTCTAAAAGCTATTGCATTAAACCTACTTAGTGCTACTCTTTTCTTCTGGAGAGAGAGAGAAGTAATAATAATAAAATAACTCTCCAATAAAGCTCATTTCACCATGACACATTAAGTATCAGGAGTTTAAAAGACAAAGGGTGAGAGGGGAGAAAACTGTCAGAAATATTTAGCTGTTAAGGAGATTGTAAAAATAGAAGCTAACTTTTTTTTTTAAAGGAAATATAAATTGTACTGTTTATATTACCCAGCCTCAAGTATTGTTTTTCAGCCAGTTAGGTGCTTAAGGATGTGAAAGTTATTCCTGCTTTACAGTAAGAAGAGAAACCTTCTAGAATAGTTGTGGAACCACTAGAACAGAAGGGAATTATTTGGACCAGAGTTACCAGAAACAGAATAATCCTTGACATTTCTTTTTTCACTTTTTCCCTCATTTATGAGAAGTACTGATTTTGAATAATCAGGTTCCCAATGTGAAGACTTTGAGAAATGCTGTGCCTAGCCCATCACAGTATGCAGTAGCCTCATTAAGCAGTGGATTTGTGTTCTGACAAATATTCAAACTCTTCATGTTTTCCTTAACTATTTTTCCTCCACTTTCAGTATCTAAATGTAAAAGAAGATTGCAAAGCCATGGCTTTCTGTGCAAAAATGAGGAGCACAAAGAAGACCGAAGTAAACCTGGAAGCTCAGCATCAGGGTTTAGAAATACTTTTCTACCTGCAAGATAAAAATCCTATTTGTTACACCAGTGGCGAGTTTACCTCGGAGGAGCTGTGCATTGAAGCTGCACAGAGGTGTTGTGAGTATATGGATTTTATATAAGTTCTCAGTGGCAAGGCCTGACAATATCGAAAGCGATGCATCCTTCTCTGCGTGTAAGTCAATGTTTATAGAAGAAATATGCATGTTATGTAGTCTAGGATGGAAACTTTTGCCAAGGGTCTGCTTGGGCAGTTCTTAAACTGCTTGGTGTGGAAGAAATGGTGGGAGAGACTGTCTTGAGATTAGTATAAAGTGATGATCTCCCACCCTGGCAGATACAGCTACTGATTTTTTTGATTTGGGTGTGGTGATTAGGTTTCTTTGAAGAGAAGAGGAGATACCATATACAAATAAGTTAACACAAAGCTGGTTTTACCTCATATACTAGTTGGTAAGCCTGTCAGGATCTGTCCTGTGTTACAACACATTTTGGAGAGCGCTAATGAAAAAAAAACCACAAAACACAAAATCCCAAACCTGTTTGTTACTTCTCCGGTTTTAGTTTCCTGTTACTTGACACTTTTTTGCAGAGAGTTATTCACCAGTTAAGATTACCTGAACTGTGCACAATTGCGGTAATGCATAAATGTATAATGAAGATTTCTTGCTTTGTCACTGTGGTCCTTGACTCAGCAAAATATTTGAATATGTGTAATTCTACTGGAATTAGTGGATTTAATCTATGTTTGAGGCTCATGAACCAGTATATGTTTATATTTACAATTCTAAGGTTCTTGCCCGCTCTGATCCCAATTTTGTGTTCCCCAGGCTTCATGGAACACTAAATATTATTCAGCTGATATGGGAGTGGTGAATCTGGCTGTAATAAACAGGTGAACTGGGCATAAGTTTCCCGTCAGCTTTAAAATGTTTTCTTTTCCCATGTCATCTTGATTCTTGTAACATTGAGTACCCTTCAGTTCATTTGCCTAATTGCTTCTCTTCCATTGGAAAGGCAGGAATGATGGGAATCTGAAGGACAAACCTCATCAAATAAGTACTCACATTGTTTTTGAATAGTTTTAATGAAAATGAGAAGTACTTAAAACCCACCTATTCATGTCAGCCTGTAAGAGCTGTGAACTGCTGCTGTTTGTATGGGTGTGAACCCACATAATGTGCAACTGCTCCCAGTAATTTCTGTTGGAAGTTTAAAACCTTTGAAAAAATGACTTCAAGTGAGCCTTCCATAAGGGAACTTCTTTCTACCTTCTCTTGCTTTTCATTAAGTCCACAGCACGTGCTAGTGAAGTACAAAAGTTTACCTGTTTCAGCAGGCCTGTGGTGCTGGTCTCTGCTGTAAATCACAACTTGAATGTTAAACCATTGATGGCATCTACATACTGCTTGTTGACATGCAGGAGGCAGTGGCTGCCCAACCCGACCTTCTGTGATCTTTGCAATTAGGCTCTTCAGTTTTTATTGCCTTGGCTTCTTTTCTTCCCTTCTGCGCTCTCTCCCCAAGACACAGTAGAAATGTTTTCACTGAATTCTGCAGGACCCCAACAAAGCGCTCTGCAGTTGGCCCAATTTCAGAAAGACACTTAAGCACATGCTATGGTGCTCTCTGCAACTTTGCTGCTTGCCTGACCAGGGCTTTTGCAAAAAGGTACTGCCTCCTATTGAGCAGGAGACTGAAGCAAGGAATTCAAACAATGGTAGACCTGTAAACACTCCATAGCCTGTTTTTCTCTGGGATGATGTAAATGCAAAGGTTAAAACAGGTCGGCATAGACATACAAGTCAAAGTCTGTTCTTTGTTGGAAACCCCTCTGTTGAATTGGCAAAGAATGGAAAAATTACACGTTATGCTTTCTGCTTGTTTGCTAATGAGAAGGGGATTTTAACTGTTTCACTAAAACCTTGTCTTTCAACTATGGGAGTAAAATTTATTAATAAAATAAAACTGAGAACAAAGTTGTGGTATTGCTGAGTGGTTCTGTTAAAACACCCATTTCTGTGATCTGGAAAAAGTGAAGATTTTTAAGTCATTTCCTCTTAAGTTCAGACAAAATCAGGATTTCAGAATAAGTTCAATGTTAGAAGTAGCTGAAACGATACGTTCTTTAATACACAATAAACCCAATGGAGTGAACCAATGTGCAGTTTGCAGTTCCACTTTAACCGTAACTTTCTAGTGTTTGTTTTAAACTAATCCTAGTATCAGTTTCTTTTTATGGCCTGTTTCGCAAGATCAGATATTTGCTTTATGCATTTGTATATTTGGGGTGTGCATATGTATTGTAGCCTTGTGATTCACACGTTTGTTTACTTTTCTCTGACAGCTATATCTCCTCTGTGCCATAATCTCTTTGCACTGTATGATGAAAACAGAAGACTCTGGTATGCACCAAACCAGGTTTTTAAGATAGATGAAAAAACATCACACCGGCTCCATTATCGAATGAGGTAAGCGCATAGTATCTGAAAAATGATTCCTTAACCATATGTAGATGCTCTAACTCTTACTGCTGAACTCACTGAAGAAGCAGGAAAGCAAAACCAAAAGAAGCAGCTTGCTTTTCACAGCATAGATAAGAGATTAACAGTAAAAGCTTAAAATGTCTCCTGATTTTTTTTCATCTTTGCTATATAACCTTAAAAAAGCCCCAGAAGTTGAAAAAATGCAAGAACCTGTAGCCACAAAGCTGTAGGTGACTGAACTAGCTAAAAGCTAAATTGAAAAAAGGGCTCAAAAATGTTGGTTTATTGTGTCAGTATTTTGCATGTTTCAATTTCCTTTTGAAGTGTTGAAAGTGAACTGTACTCCTACTGAAGTCAATGGGAATTTTACTATTAACTTGAAAGGAAAAAGCAACATGCTGTTGCTTTTGAAATTCTCCTCCAGGACTGTAGGGGAATCAGTGTGACCTCACTGCGGGTGGCATGCATTAGACTGGAGAAAGCATCAGAAAATAGAAACCATTGTTCCCAGGATCTTTATCCATCATGTACCATCAGGTTGAACTTCAGGTGGCTTTCTTAAAATACAGCACATAGCCTGTTGAGATTTCTGGGGCTGAATGGGTACACCAGCCCTCATCCACTGGAAAATGAAAGCAGTAATGCTGGCAGCTGTTGAGCACTCTCACATACTCTAGCTAAAGAAAGGTTGTCCTCCTTTTAGGATTTGATAGAAATCTAATTCTGCACATTATGCTACGTTCTTTTTTTTTATTATTATTTTTATTCTGACTTTTCTTCTTGTATCAATATGAGCTTTAAGTGTATGATTCTGATTACTTTTGTGCCAGACTGGGATTGTTATTGTTGTTGGATGAACTGTTATGAGAAGAAAAAAAAAAAAGTCAACAAAAAGATCTTTGCTTTTCAAGTAATTATACCACTGATACCTATTTTTAGAAGAGGAAGAGGTTATTACAGTTTTTTCTTTAACACAGTCTATTAGTGGTATTAATGGCCGAACCTCAGCTAATCTCAGAGTTCAACAGCTGTGATTAAGTTTGGCAGATAAACACCGTACAGTAATGGAATTGAGTGACTCTAAAAGAAGCTCTGAGGACTCTAATGGCCTCTTACAGAGCATTAAGTGCTCTTTCTTGCTTTAAGAGATCAGTCAGATTAACCATGTACTGGATAATAAAAAAATTTCTTGGTATAATGTGAGTCTGGGGTGTTTTCCCCTGATACTGAAATTCTTCGATGTGGTGTGCTTTTCTCAGTAAAAGAAGGTAGTATTTAAAAAATGTAGTTGTGGGAATTTAGTCCTCTAATTAGAAGTATGATGCTGGTTTTTTAACTCAGTTCTTTAAAAGTAGTTTCCGCTGTGTTTGGTGTTTATATGTTTCTATATGTTTCTGCTTTGGGTGAGGGATGAGAGCTCTCTCCAGGTACTCTTTCAGTCCTACTGCATCTTACTTGCATGGTGGGTAACACCACCTTCTTTAAAACTGCTTTAACAGCTCCCTCTTATAAATCTTCTTTGGCTCTTCACATCTCTATCAAACTTTAGGTATATGGGCAAAATTACTCCATGTTGAACTTTTGTTTTCTGGATTTTTTTCTGTTCTACCATTTTACACAATGAAGCTATGGAATGTGCCCTGCTTTCTGTATGTAAAAGTTCTGGTGGTTTATTTTTTTAAGGTTTGGAGTTGGGATTTGAAGTTTGGCAGGGGCGTCTCTTTTGTCAGATGTACTCCATGCATGGAAATTGGCAAACTTTGGGCCAATAATTTGAATTTAAAGTAATTTCATATGCATTTAAGAAGAGCCTGTATGAGTTAAGCGCTAAAATCTAAATATTCCCATCTCCCTAGGAATAATGTAGTGTATTGGTGAAGTGGTATTTTCCTTTCTTTCATTTCTGATCTATCGCGTGTCTTGGCTTGGGCATCTGAACTGAGAGCAGGGCAGAGCACTGAAAAACTATGAGCAATACATGATTGTGAAACTGTTCTCTAAATGAATATTGTTTATTCTGAGCTCTGCAAGAGGCAGAATTCCTCTTGAAAAAGGAAAATGGTCTGGGCTTATGTAACAGTGCAGTCTATTAGACTGTATGTAATCATTTAGAGACAAAATAATTTTTATATGGACAATCCACTTTCTGAAATTTCATTACATTGTTAGAATTGATTTAGTCATCTCCTATTGTAATTACGTATATATATATAAAATGAAGGTATGTGAGTAGTTTCAAGTGCTTTTAGGTGTTCGATTTTTCTCCCACTGCTGAAAGCTTTAGATTTGGTTTCTGATTGTGTGGACTTCCCATCCTCCTCCTCTCCCCATCAAATCTGTGCCAGCTGGTATACTTTTCATAATACTTTAAAGGGCCTTGCTTTTCACTAGAAACTTTGAAACTAGCCCTGTATTTCTTTCACTTGCCTCAAGTTTGGGGGGGGGGGGGGGAGCTAAAAAAAAAAAAACCCCACACCTTTTTTAATATTCTGGACTAATTAGCACACCAGCTGATGGAGGAGGAGTTTAACTGTTCCACAGCTGGATTGTCTTTAAGCCAGAGGTAGCAGTGTCTCTTGGCATGGAGAAGGGACCCAATACACATGTTTCTGGAAACTCTGGAAAGAAGGACTATTGGAGCCCGCTATAGGTGAAAGAGGACAGCAAGTCCCACTCCAGCGTTTCCACCGCTCCTTGGCCAGATTGAACGGATGAAGTGCAAAACTGCTCTGTCCCAGGGGTGACCTGCTCGGGCTGACTCCCCAAATCCCCCCTCCCTGCTGCAGCACCCATGCCGCAGGTGCCTGCCCTGGGCTAAAGCGTTCAAAAGGAGGGGTAGGTCATGCTCCTGAAACTCAGGAGCACGCTGTCTCCTTTCCAGGTCATTTGCAGGACTTCTGCATTGGAAAGCTTCTGCTCCCATTTCTGTTTGTGAAAGTGGAATAGTAATGATCTGCCTCCCCCGTACCACAAGTTAATTGGTCTCTTCAAGGCAGAGACTCTCCTTTATTTATATGGTTCCTCAAACAATGGGGCTCTAATTTTTATTGTAACTTTTAAGTGTTGTCTTAATCAGTGCAGTTTAATAGGGAAAGGAGCAAATTCTCCTCTCAGTTACCAACAATACACAATACCTTGCCCATAATTATTTTCAGGAAATACCAAAAGAATTGGAGTTATTAATTTTCACTCATCTTATAAAATACAGAAACAAAGTAATTTCCTGGAGGCAGAAGGATTTGCTTTGCTTTGCTTTTTATGCTTCATCCAAAGGAGTTCTGCAGTATCTTACAGAACTTGTCAGGATTTTTTGGCATAGTTGTGTGTTGGTGTTCCTAGATACATGCTTTTGGGGGACTTAAAAAGACTTACCAAAAAGAAAGGATGGACAGAAACACTGTACAGAAAGTCTCATCTCTTTAAGAGTAATTTGATACACCATTCGTCATTTGAATGGTCAACTTACTGTACAGATAACATGTGATGAAAACACATGGTGCTGAACTAAAAGTACTAATTTTATTTTGCTCTTTGAGATCCTGACTTTGCACTGAGACTGATACACACCAGTCCCAACCACTGCAGAACTGGGGCTTAATCCATGAACTCCCATTCTGGTCAGAGGCAAGTCACAAAGATATAGGCACGTATTTTAAAACACATACTTTTGCATGTGGGTTGTTCTGCACCATAATGTTCTTAAGCATTTGCCAGTTGACTTGCTGCCTTCCTGCTGTCTTCCTGTCTTCCACGACACATCCCTTGCAGTTTTTATTGCATTATATTTGAAATGAAACTGCTTGGGCAAGATAGTGGTTTGTTATTTAAACAGATTTCTTACTTGTAATCTCAAAAAGTGTTCATAGATTATAAGGTACTTTATCTGTTCAGCTTTTTCTTTCGATACAGAAAACGTGTATTTCCAATTCAGGAGTTGGATATCACATGCCTCAATATTTTCTACCTAAAACCTTAGGTTTTTTCCACTCCCTTTTTGTTTACTACTACTTTTATGTGCAGTGTCTATTAACATTCACATTCATTTGTCTTTTTCCTGTGTAAAGCTGTTTGATCTCATTTTGGTCACAAAAATTCTGAATGATTTTGATCACATATTTAGGTAGACGTTAAAAGCTTTGCTGTCGAGATTCACGGTAATGTGAAACAAATTAGGCAATGCTCACGGTGGTCACTGTCCATCAGAAATGTCTGATATCACACCACCCTTTGTATTAATGCAGTAATATATATACACAATGCAATAATTCTGCATTGTTTGCTTTTGCTAGTGCTGAATGCTGCTCTGGAATTAGATCGACATATTCTTCTAGAAATCATTCCTACTTAGCAGTTGGGTAAATCTGCTCTGCTGTAACCTTTTAATTGTAAGTAGTTCATGATCATGTGCAAGGCATGAACCTCTGCAAAAGGCACATTGATTCAAACCAGATTTAATTAAACTTTACTTGATTTAAATGTTACTAGAACCCAGATAAACACATATTTCTGGAGTAATTTAGGCAAAGATTTCTCAAAAGGTGCTAATAGAGCTTGAACTCAAAAATTTCATTAATTTTCAGTAGACACCAACTCCTTTAGCAGGTTTTTAATTAAATAGCTTTGTGTACAGATATGAGTAAAAAGCATGTTTGTCACATACACGGAAGATTTGACTGTGTCCCTTTGAAACTGGGTGATTTGAATTCGTGCATTTTTCACCAGCTCCATCCAAAACCAAAGGGAAGCAGAAATTCCGGGGGGGTGAGGCATAGTGCAGTTGTTTTTCCCTGTGCCTGTAGAGGAGGAGGTCTAAAGTCTTGTTAACCCTTTAGATGAGCCATTTTATCTTGGAATACAAATGCCAGCCATTGGTTAACGCACAGTAGAAGTATTACACTCCTCAAGTAATGTCAGAGGTGATGGAAACGTACTTGTCATCTGAGTGGTGGCTTCTTGTTTGGTGGACTGTACAGGGATGCAACAGGCAGGCAGGCATGGGATCGTGAGTTGAGTGAGATACTGTTGAGTGGAAACACTGAAGATCTTTGACTAATACACCATTTTTCCCCAGTTCCTCAGGCCAGGCATGCGGTTTCAGCAGTGGACCACTTAAGCTGCAACCTCAGGGCAGAAGATTGACGGATTTTGACTTCTAACTGATTTTCTTTTAAAAGATTAAAATACGCATCTAATGTAAATGGAGGATTTCCCCAAAAGTTTTTAAAGTTTATTCCTCTTTTCTTGCAAGATACTACTTTACAAACTGGCATGGCACTAGTGAAAACGAACCCTCAGTGTGGAGGCATTCCCCAAGGAAGGCAAAGAACTCTTACGAGAAAAAGCTGGCACCAGAAGGAACCCCTATACTTGATGCACATTCATTAGAATACATCTTTGCACAGGTAAGACGTTGCTTGCAAATATCTCTGCCATTGTAGTCACACAAAAATTATTTGATCCAGTAGAAGCTGCTTTAAAGACCTATTTTCAAAATTCTAAAGTACATGTAACCTTACCTGTTAGTATTGATAAGTGTTTTCTTCATAATTCTGCATGGTGGAGAGAATTTGCTACATGAAGAACAATCTACCCATACGCATAAGTGTAAAGAAACTATATATCACAGTCCAAAAAGGGCTATATTTTTACAGCATACTTTCTTTTAGTATTAACTGGTTTTCGATATAAATGCTATCACCTTTTCTTTTGCAAAGCATTTGCACATAACTTTGACATCTATAGTCCTATAGAGGAGCAGTAGCAGTATTAAAACTGACAGTATGGTGTCCTTTTAATGAGTCTTTTTTACTGCGTCGTGCTAAAACATTGACTGATAAAACCACTGTCACACAGCCTGCTTACATGCAATTTTTCTTTCCTTTGGTTGTGCCTCCCACTTGTTGGCAGTACAGGCAGCACGCTGGACATGGCAAGTAAGCAGGGTCCCTATTTCAGAAAGCTTGTGCTCTTGTACAAAAAAAGGTTGTATACACACAAATGATTTTGCAAACCAGAAACTGTCTGGTTTCACTAAAGAAATGGAAAGATTGAAGTTGATGAAGGCTTGTGAAATGAGCAAATGAAATGCACTGGATAAAAACGTGTTTACTGTTAATTCTGAGCATAATTACTGCAGAATTTTCAGACTTTGAAATATGGTTGTGTCCTTCAGAAAAAGAGATACCATGAAGCTGCTCCAGTGAATCCTTGTTTTGTTGTGAAACCACAATACAAGAAAATACCAAGTTAGCTACAGCTATGGGTGCATTTTAATGGTACCACTTGCATTCTAAAGTAATAGAAGCAGCAAATGTTTTTTTCCTGCGTAATCAAACTTACACCTTGTTTTGTGTGAACATTCCTGTGTACATGCATGCAACTTTGCAAAATCACTGTTTGAAAACATGCTGTAAAACAGTTTTTTGTCCTTTTTTTTTTTTTTCCTTTTTTTGAGTGTCAGCAAAAAGAATGAAGACGCCTTTTAAGTTGCAGAATGAGTAGGGACCCTAATGGATATTGTCAGACAATGTTGCATTGAGCAGAATTTTACTTTTGGGTAATAACATTTTAAAAAAAGGCCAAACAGAAAAACACTAATGCTAGTACAAGACAACAGAAATGTCTTTGCTCTTTGGTAACCAAATATTTTTCAGACTGTCCCAGAGCCAGGCAGCTGCCACAGAGTTTGCAATCTCAGCTTTGAGATGTGGCTTAGAGACTGTGAGTGCATGAGGTTCATAGAGACACCAGGTGATGGAAGGCAGAGATAAAGCAGAGACACAAACTATTTTACTGCGTACCAGAAAAAAAAACCCATGATGGTGCTAGAAGGGGACAGGGGTGGTGCTTTCTTTAGTTAATTACCAAAAAAGGGAATTTTTGGTGGGCTAATACATAAAAGAAGGGGACAGGAGTTTTGGAAGTGTTTGAGCAGTGCAGGTGTTCTCCCTGGATGTCCACACACGTTCTTGGTGAAAGCCACAATGCTGTGGACTGTACGTGGGATGGATGTTCTGTGACGATCCACATGGTGATTCCACCCGTTCCACAAACTGTTGTTTTAAAAAGACTTCTCTCAGGTGCAAATGTTGGTGTTTCTTCTCAAATCAGCAGGGTTTGTGAGGTGACTAGTGCTTGCCTGTGTTTCTGTTTCACTGGTCTAAGAGAAGAATGCATCTATTGCACAGCTCTCCCCTTCTTCTCCTACCTTTTCCTGTCCCGGCTTTCAGTTTTGGGTGACTCTTCTTGCTCAAGGAGAGCTTGAGATCTCACGACATACTGCTTGCTCATAGATAAACTATGACAAATAATAAATCTGATAGCTTTCTTTTCTTGCTTCCTATTAAGGGTCAGTATGACTTAGTGAAAGGCCTGGCACCAATCCGTGATCCTAAAAATGATCAAGAGGTTCATGAAATTGAAAACGAATGTCTGGGGATGGCTGTCCTTGCAATCTCTCACTATGCCATCAAGAAAAATGTGAAGCTTCCAGAGCTTCCCAAAGATATCAGGTAGGTTGGAATAACTTCTTTGTCACTGTTGGGTCTGCTGCAATTCTCTTCCCAGAAGGGATTTTAAGCATTCTAACTTCCAGAGTCTGACTGTACAGGAGTTACAAGCTCCAACACTGCTATTGCTAAGTGGGTCTTCCTAACCTTGTCAAGAAGGATATGTATTAGAAAACCGGAATTTTTTCTTGCCTGGAGAGTATTTGAAATCTATGCAGCTAGTGTGCCCAGCATACCAATGTGTTGGGTGCCGATTGACTTGCTGTAAATTCAGGGTTCTGGTTAGCTAGTTCAGAAACGGCAGTGTTGTTAAGTGGCAACCTAATGAGAAAACTGTTAGAATAAATTGTGTTATTGATTTGAGTGGGCTGTATCCATCTGACTAAAAAGCTTTCAGATAAGGTTATTATTTGAATTCCTCTTGGCTATTAATGCTGTAAACCACTGCTACAGTACCAGCTGCACGCTGGTTTACTGCATCTTGTTCTCTGTAGCTTTCAAAGTAAGGCAGTTGCACATTTTGGAGAGTTAGAAGTTTAGGAGACAATGGTATTAACTCATAGCATTGTTTTTCCTTCTAGTTATAAGCATTATATTCCTGAAACTTTGAACAAGTCTATCAGACAGAGGAATTTCTTAACCAGGATTCGGATAAATAATGTTTTCAAGCATTTCCTTAAAGAGTTTAACAACAAAACCATTTGCGACAGTAGTGTGTCTCCACGTGATCTGAAAGTTAAATATTTATCAACGATGGAGACCTTGACTAAACATTATGGAGCAGAAATTTTTGAGACTTCGTTTTTGCTGATTTCATCTGAGAATGAAATAAATATATTTAATTGTGGAGACAGTGAGATCCTCCCACTATATGAAGTCATTGTAACAGGAAACAATGGAATTCAGTGGAGGCTCAAGCCAAATGTAAGTATCCCTTGATAAATGGGAATTAGAGGATTGCTTTTGGGGGCATAACAACTGTTAAAAAAATGGTCATGATCTTCAGACACTGCAGATCAGCTTTTTATTGAAAGGACTTCTTTCATAGGATTATAGGGTTATGCAGGTTGGAAGGGACCTCAGGAGGTCTATAGTCCCAACCCCCTGTTCAGGGTTAGCTTAGAGATCAGACCAGGATGCTCAGGGCTTTATCCATTCTGGTCTTGAAAACTTCCAAGGATGGACGCTGCACAACCTCTGTGGGCAACCTGTTCATCAGGAAAATTAAAGATTGTATTATATCTGCCAGACCAGACACAAGTTTTGAAAGATTATGTCCGTGGAGGCCTTTATGGTTTGGTGCTCTGTCTTGATAATCAAAGTCTGATAATGCTTTTTCTGTATATGGCACCCGAGGTGCCATGTTTGCTCATACTCATAGACTTTTCATGAATAAATTAAAATATAGTGACATGAAAGCTAAGCTTTCTCGCATCAGTGATATTTTATATGTTGCTCCTTGTGTCAGTGCTGCTAATTGAGGTCACTTTGGTTAATCTCTTCTGTACTTTGCATACATAAATATTAAATATGCTCTAAGTTTGAAGGGGGTTATGGCATATTCTACAGTTTTTCTCCACATATGATATTGAACAAATAGACCTCTTTTTGCTTGCCTCAGTTCCCCACAGTGATGAGAACCCTGCTGATAGTTATCTTTTGTAGCATAGAAAGCATTGTGCTTCACTTAATTTAGATGTAAGCTAACTATCTCTCTCTATCTCTGATGGAGAATTTCTGTTTTAAATGATAATATTAATGGGAGGGGAGGGAAGGAAGAGCTGCTATTTGAGCAGAAAAGCTTGCAAGAAGTGCAGCCTGTTTCTTGTAAGGCTCCTGTTTCTGCTTATTTATAGATTATATTTATTTAAATGCCTAAGCCAAAGATTTTCATCACAGTGAGAGCCTTTCTGTGACTAGCAGGAAGCTTTGCTGAGCCTGAACATTTACCTTTTTAAAATAAGTAGTTCTTAGTAATTTTTGACCTGTAAGATGCTCAGCTTCATTGTGGTCTGCATGCAGAATTTCATCTGCTGTCGGCAGTTCAGGCATGCAGTGTGAGATGAATGTGGCTCTTGCCTTTGGGCTGAGCTCTGAGAGAGCATTTCAAGTACATAATTTAGAAATCTCAGCAGAACCCTTTCAGCCTTGTACTGCTACTAAAGTTATTGCTAGTATACCGAGAAAGAGGTAAGTTACCTAGCTAATGACTGGTTTCTTTTATCCTCACGAAAACTGTCTTATGGACTGTTCTTGACTGAAGTATATCCTTGCAATACAGACACACTGAACATGTAAATGAATTGATGATCGGTGCAAAAAGCATTCAAGAATAAAATAGCTGGATGAACTTGGCATGTATTTTTGGTTGAGTGTAAAAACACTGTGCTAAAAAAATATGGTTTTATTAGTATACTTTAATCCAAAATGTATCTGCAGTCTGTACAGACAGAGAAAGAGAAGAAGAAGAAGTCTGATGGCAAAAACAAAAAGGATGAAGAAAAACAAAAAATTCGAGACTTATGGAACAATTTTTCCTATTTTCCTGAAATCACCCACATTGTCATCAAGGAGTCTACAGTTAGCATTAACAAGCAGGATAACAAAAGGATGGTAAGAACCAAACCTTGGATAAGTTTCCTTCCCATGGGAAGCTGTAGTGACACAGTGTTGTTGGGCAACAGGTGACAACCTCCTTGAGGAACATTTTCTAATGGGACTCTTAAATAACAGTTTAATATGCTGTCCTCAACACTGTACAAATGCAAAAACGCTAGTTAGAAGAGCAGCAAGTTGGTGAGCACAGTTGCTTTTCTAGACTTGTTACTGCATACCACCGGTGCCTGGTGGCTCCTTGATATGCTTCTTGGCCCGTGGCCTTCCTCTGAACAGCTTGGATAGCCAAAAGCAGCATCAAGAAAGAGGAGTTCAGCAAGGATGGCAGAGGGTGAGGACCTGGGAGGGTGGGAGAGGAGGGTCGGTTTTATAGATACCCAGTTCTTCTTGCTGTGGGCTGCCAGCTGTTAGAATTTGGAAAGGAGCTGCCAGGGTGCCCTTGGCTTTAAATCCAACATGACTGCCAACATGACTGCCCCCGTCCTGAATTTCTGGTGTTTTACAAAGCCTGGCACAGGAGTCTGCCATACAGATCTAATGTAGGATTACAGCAGAATATAAGTCATGCTGGAGAATGGAATTTTCTAGCCAGTAATGAGTGAGGAGGATAGAGAATGGTCAGTATTGGTTTCCTAAATGTATATGGTTTTCTGTCATAGCTTTCTGGACATTTTTTTAGCCACTTCATGCAAAAATTGCTGCATATGAAAACATTCCTGAAATGTTTTAGTGGAACTGTAAGAATTCTTGACTAAAATATCTTTTTGGTTTAGGAATTAAAACTATCCTCACATGATGAGGCCCTGTCATTTGCATCGTTGATAGATGGATACTTCAGACTTACAGCGGATGCCCACCATTATCTCTGCACAGATGTGGCTCCCCCACTGATTGAGCACAACATAAAAAATGGATGCCATGGTCCCATTTGGTTAGTAAAATTTTATTTTTATTTTTTCACTGGAATAGTTAGTCCTCTAATACTACTGCATATTGAATCCATTGAGGAAATCTGACATTTGGAAGGTTGTTAGTTCAACAAAATGTTGTAGAATAACTTTTTTTTTTCTAATGGTTATATGGAAAAAGTATCACTAACTCTCTCCACATCAACTTACTCATCTATAAAACCAGTGTTTCCTCCCTATCGGAGTATTTTGAGCCTTACTTCACTAATAGCTATAAAGATCATTGTCAGTTGAACAGATGGGAATATTTTAGGTAAACAGAGTTGAACTGTATCTACACTGACACTGGGAGTCCTTGGATGGAGGCACAAAGCCTTTGGTTTTTTTTTAAATAGCTAAAGCAATTATTTTCCCTTCTGCCCACATTTTTGGCTTTTCCTTTTATGTTTGAAGATGCAATATGTAGAAAACTGAGAGCTTATGTGCACACTGTGTTGGATGTAGGATTTCCCCATTAAGCATGCTAAGAGCTTAATAAAATTTTCTTCACTTGCTCTTTGGCAGGTAAATGTGAGTGTGTGTAATGCACACAATTAAATAATTTTTTAATTATAATATAAATATTTCTAAGTTGCTGTTACTAATTTTTGTTGCAAATATAGGATTACTCTCCTCTGTATTTACTAATAATAAATTTTGGGTACAACTGCTCATTTGTTGGCTTTCCTCGTTTGTGCATTGACTCTTTCAGCACGGAATATGCCATCAACAAACTGCGACAGGAAGGGAATGAAGCAGGCATGTATGTGTTGAGATGGAGCTGCACAAACTTTAACCACATTCTCATGACAGTGACTTGTTTTGAAGGCTCAGAGGTACGTCAGGTGTGGCACTCCCAGCAGTCATTTGATAATGAGCTAAAGACTAGCAGCTCCCTGTAATCCGTGTTGATATATTTATGTTCTTTAGGGCAGACATCTTAGCTGATGCAGCAGAGGGTGGATGCTTGTACTCACAGCTTCATTTTCTCTGGAATCCTGTGCTATCTCTACAAATCTACTGTATCTACAAATATGATTCATTACATCCAGAATATTTCCATTCATAGCGATAAAACTGTGCATGAACATGATTGAAATGAAGCTTTTTAAACTCATATAGTGTAAGAATGACATACAGAATTTGTCACTGCAGCTTACCTAATGTTTCTTGAACATGGATTTAATTACATGAATGTATTTCTACTGACACACTGTAAAAGAATAGCACATGAGGACAGTTGCCTTTACACATAGAGCACTACAGAAGGGGACATATACACAGTTAGCTAGTGGAACATATTTTGTGAAAGATGAGTGATAAGTAAAAGCTCATGTGGTGGGATAGGGGTGAGAACCCATTAGAGGTAGAAAAGAAGAATGCAGCAACTGCACAGAAGTTTGAATTTTACTGACCCCAGCTGGAAGTCTGCAGCTGACTTGCTAGTTTGGGGAAGATATTTAAAGTGTTCACACAAGAATAATAATAATAGTGTAAAGACATATAAACTGTTTTCCTTCTCTTAGAAAAAAATGTTGTTATTAAAATGTATTAGAGTCAATTATGAGAACAGGAGGGTCATTTGAAACAAGAAACGACAAAATGATGAAAAAAACATCTTGGAAATAATAGTAATCTTTTAGCATTGATATTTGGTTCATCTTCTGTAGACATTTGCAAAAAAAATCCCTGTATGATCAACACTGTCTTCTAACAGACAGGGCAACCGAGGCATTGAAACAAGAAATTAATTTTGTCTTGGAAAAAATTCAGCCTCATTGGGAGGCTTAGAGAGGAAAGACAGGTGATGGGAAGCTGCAGTATGGTGGAGGTGAGGAAGCAGTAGAGGGTAGAACTTGAAAGGGAATGGGCTTGAGATAGAGAAGTACAAAAGTTCAGTCATTCTTCCTCAATACATTTGAATGAAACTGGGAGGTTTGAACAGCAGCCTGAAATCTCGTTTCACTTGCTGAACAATCTGGGTTGTGAAAGGGAGTTTTGCTGGTTTTAAGTTGACATTTTGAAACCGTGGTCCAGATTCTGCAATTCTTGACCAAGTGAAGAGAAAATTCCTTCTGAAGAGTCAGAGCTTCTGCATACTCTCAGGCTCTGCAGAACACAGAAGCTGTAATTGGACTTGTTAGATGATTACATCTTTATGTTGCTGCTCTTCCACACTATTATGAGCCTTCCTGGGACTGAAGGTTATGGGAATTTTAGGGCCTTTTTCTACTTCATTGGAGTTTGATTAGAGGACACTAGCTTAGGAACAAGTGATTAACTGGTACTACATGTAATTTCAAAGGCTTCTGGAAAGCTTTTATGGCTTTAAAACATCCTTTCACTTTAATGATTATATTTTGCTTGCTTCCCCCCCCCCCCCTTTGCCCCCTAATAACAGATGATAAATAATTCAATCCAGTACAAGAACTTCCAGATTGAGGTGAAGAAAGGCGGGTACTTCCTACATGGTTCAAACAAGTCTTTCTCATCCTTAAAAGAGCTGATGGATCACCTGAAAGGACAAATACTTCGGACAGACAACATAAGCTTTACACTGAAGAGGTGCTGCCAACCAAAACCAAGAGGTAGGTAGTCTCCTTTAAGAGAAGCAACGAACTTTGGTGTTGAAAGGAGACAAACTCCAGAAATAGCTGGCATTCTTAGTGTCTTTGGTTTGCTCTGTATTCTTGTGTGAAGCTCTTTTGTCACTTAAAAAATTATATATAAAGTTTCTTCCTTTTCTGTGGAGGAGGTGTCCTGCCAGAAAGCAAAAGCAAGTGCTGCGAACAAGGTTTTAGGGCTTTCCTTTCAATGTTACAAGCTCAGCACAGGATGCTCAGGGGACTGGTGCTTCTCATGAGCCTTGTTTGCGTGAACTTGTCAAATGACGGAAAAGTTCTGGTTTCCCTTTTTGCACCTAAACAGCTGGCCCTGCAGTATTGATGACAGAGGTGGAACTCTAGATTTGTTTAGAAAGAAAATGTCACAGCTGACTCAGAGTCATGGGCTGAAACACTGCAGCGAAGCAGGGACTATATAAGGTTCTTCCTTTGCTCCACTGAGTCACGTATGCCAGGCAGTGCTGCCCTGCATCACGTTGCATTCCTCTAGCAAAGGAGGGTTGTAGCCTGCAGTGGTTATATGGCAAACTTCAGTTTGAAGCTTGTTTGCTGTCATTACGAGCTGTTGTTTACTGTTAGAAGCAGCAGGGAGGGCTTGGTCTGCAACTGTTAGCAAGCAGAACAGCCTTGCAGTCAGTAAGGTCAAATTTGAGAGGGCTGGGACAATTGTGCATTTGTTAAACTGTTAATGCCAACACTTACTAAAATTGTTTGCTATAAACTACAAGTGTCTTGCAGCTGAATTTTGTATGAAAGAGGAAACACACTGGCGTGATTGTGTTGATCAGATAATGGTTTCCTGTTAGAATAAGGGGAATAACTGAGCTGTATTAATTACCTGCTTGTTCTGATGGTTTTAGAGGAGAGTACTCTGTAGATAGACACGGAGCTTATCAGCACTTTGAATAACATCGGTAATTGTCTGGAGCGTGGAGAGATTATACATTTTGACATTTTGATTACATTTTGACAGCTGTATTTGGGATAAAATAAAACGGGTCAAGGAGTTGACTGCCTACTTCAGCTTTTCATTGGCATTAGTTACAGTGGGATCCAGTGCATTATCTGTGCTGTTCCCTGTTCTGTCTCTTCCCTGTTCTGTTTTGGTTTTTTTCCTTTGTTTTGAAGCTATTTAATCGGTTATTCACAAAGAAGTTTAGGGGATGCAGAAATAAAGCAGTTTTTCCAGTGTATGCTTCATTACTTACTGTTTTCAGAGTGCCAGATCACGGTTTAGCCCCGACACACATGTTCTGCTCACAGTAATGGGAAGGCCAGATGCACGCAGACATCTAAAACCATTGTATCATAATAAATAACGCCTGCTGTCAAACACAGGAAGACAAAATTAATGTGCAAGGCTTTTGGATCTAACCATGCCTCTCCCTGACCAGAAGCAGTGGGGAGCAAGTACTGGCCTTTTGAGTCTTTTCCTTCTGTTCATTTCCCATTCCCTAGTTTAATTCCAGTGCTCTGGAAACAAACTGTTAGTTTTTCCCAGAGCGCAAGGAATTTTCAAGGAGGTAAAGAGAGGACATGAGACTCCAGCTACCCCTTACCCATCCGCACACCGGGAGACATACCTTTTGGCAGGAGGGAGTGTATGTACAGCAGAGGTATTGCCTCTTTCAGTCTGGGGTATTCCTCTGTGCAGTGAGCACTATTCAGTTTCTTAATGTCAGCCCCAATATGGCTAATATTACCATTGTATATATAATATAAAATATGTAGCTCTGCTGTAGTGAATTCTTTGTTGAATGATGAAATAGAAGTTACATGAGCAGAAGTGAAATCAAAGTTTCTTCTTTGTCCCTCCTCCTCGTTCATTTGGGGATTTACCTTGCAGTGAGCATATACAGTAGTGCTATTGACTGAGAAGGGTGAATGCAGTTATCTTTGAAAAGTCTTAAAAAATATTTTTTCTCCCTGCCTTCCAGAAATCTCCAACTTGCTAGTTGCAACCAAGAAGGCGCAGGAATGGCAGCCTGCTTATCACCTAGGGCAGCTGAGTTTCCATCGAATCCTCAAGGAAGAAATAATGCAGGTAGGAAGCTGGTGACCTGTGCTTCTCTCTTGTAATCAAAGTGTGGCAGTACACTGTACCTGGTCAAGTAATACAAAATCACCCCATTCTGGCTGGTTCTTCCACTCCCATTTCTCCTCGCCAAAACTTAATTTGAATCTTTATTTGTATTAAAGCCTCTTATTGCAGAATCTAAATGTTTATATGTCCTTGTGTGGAAAAAGAAGAGAAGCTCGGCAGTAATGCCTTTCACTATATTCAAATTGATATTTGAGCAATTTTCTAATGTCTGTGGAAAGAGGTGCTTCTAAGGTGATTCTTAAAAAAATCATTAAAGTCTTAAGAGCTGTTTTTCCTAGCTAATTTGTTGCTAAATGTGGCTGTATTGTTTAAAGCCTGACATATCAGAGAAACAGGTAAATTGAGGTTTTAAGATAATATCCTACAGTAAAAAAAAAAAAGGGTGAAGTATTCAAAAGCTCTGAAGAGCCTTAGCATTCAAAATTTTATGTTCCAAACTGATTTAGCACCCAAATTTTCTGACAGTTGTTTGCAGTTAGTGATGCGGGTGACCTGAATAAACTTAAAAAAACCACACAGTGGCTTGAATGCATAAATCGCATTTAATGTTTCTAAGAAACCTGAGCTCTTAAATCATGCAGTTAGCTTCTTCAGTTAAATAAAAAGTTTTGGGGTTTTTTTTTTTTTTTTAAATTGCATCACTGACTGGGGAGGACAGATACGGATTATGTTAATTGTTTTTTGATTGGTATATTTACAGTCAGCATGCAGGCTTCCTGCAAAAATATCTGAAGGCGGAATCCTCTGTTATTTAGGAGGAAATTGCTTTCCCAAACAAAGCGTTCCATTGAAATATTACTTCCTCTAACTTTTGGAAACACATTAAAGATTGCCTCAATAGCAGCTTATTGTAAATAAGAAATGAGTTGTTATTTATTCATTTGGTGTTTAGTCTAACAATGTTAAATCACACTGAACATATTTGTTGTTAATGGAGATGTGATAGCCCTTTAACATCAAATGAATTTACAGTGGTGAGTATGCATAGAGAGACCACTAAAGCAAAGAATAACATGCCGTCATTGGTTTCTCACTGTAATAATTTTAAGTCTATATGTAGCTAGATCAAGTGGAGGGCTAAGTCCACTCTCTACCTGTAGAGGCAGAATAGAGTGCAGATTCAAGTATTTGTGTAAATCTACTCTTGTTTGCTTTATGTCTTGGTTTGGAAAATATATGGTGTGTTATGTCTTAGGGCGAACATCTTGGAAGAGGGACGAGAACACAGATTTATTCAGGGATTCTCAACTACAAAGATGATGAGAATGAAGGATATCAAAATGAAAAAGAGATTAAAGTCCTCCTCAAAGTCTTGGACCCCAGCCACAGAGACATTTCTTTGGCAAGTTTTTTCCTTTTTATCCGTTGTACTACAAATACTGGGCCTCACCATATTGTACATGGTTAACTACGAAAAGCCTTTCGAAAAAAGGGGTTATGTATATAGCAAGGGAATGGGAAAATGCTGAAGGTGTATCTCACCGTTTTAGGCAGTCAAATCCATCCTTGACCAGCATTTTTGAGCTACTCGGTAAGCTGATCTCATTAGACAGGCAGCAGTATCAGGTCTGGCTGGAGCACGCCAGTGCTCACTTCCAGCCTGCGTGCGTGCAGACCATAAGCGCAAGGAAAACAGATGCAGCCCTTGCTGTGGTACGAAACGCACCATCACACCCATACCCAGGGTCACTTCTGCCTCGTGTGTCGGGCTGTGAGTCTGTCACCGACACGGCCACAGGCAAGTTAGTTGACCTGCATTTTGCTTAGTCATCTAGTAAGAGAGGCTAACGTGTCACACGGGATGCTAAGACCTCATATATGCATGTTCGCAGGAGTGCAGGGAAGAGCACTGGTTGCTTACATGACCTAATGAACACCACCACATCTCTGACAGCGCTCCGCTGCCCCATTACTACAGCAGGATGGCACATCCTTGCCATTGTTGACCCCTTATGTTATTAGAAAACACAGCGATCTTCTGCAAATGTTTCTGTTACTTGATGCTCTGTATTTGTTAAACACTTGGATGACTTGCCACGATGACCAGCAGTTTAATGGCTAACCTCTTTCCCGTTCTAACAGGCATTCTTTGAAACGGCAAGCATGATGAGGCAGGTGTCTCACAAGCACATTGTCCTCCTCCATGGAGTCTGCGTCCGTGATGTAGAAAGTGAGTTCAGCGAACGTCTCTCGAGGCAGCACGCTTAAGCAGCGGGCTTGGTAGGGACAGGGCAGCCGTTCAGTTCAGTGCTAGCAGCATGGGGGGAGATGGAGTTAGCAGCTGCTGCCTCTTGATTTTTTCAGTCCAGACAGAAGTGGAATTGGAACAGCAAGGCAGCTGCAAAGTCCATTCTGCTAACAAGTTTCCTCTTCCAATGCTGTCTTTGAGTAAGTGCCTTACAGGATGATTCCTTGAGGTCGGCATGCCAGAGTGATAGTGGTAGTGTCAATACAAACCAGCCTTCTGGCAGAGGTTATGTCCCTGGGAAGGCTCTGCCCTGTGGTCTTTGAAATGCTTTGTTCCAGGTTTACTGTTCGCTTACTACATAAAGCCACTCTTCTCTGCCTTTTAATTTGGACTCTGAGCACTGAAATAATCTTTGAGGAAGGTGAAATAAAGAAATAAAGACATCTTCTAACCACCTTGCCTGGGGCGGGGGAAGATGGTAACAGGCCTGTTAAGATTACCCTGACACCGGTTGTTGCAACACTGACTTTATGCATCTGCCCTTGCAGATATCATGGTTGAAGAGTTTGTTGAATTTGGGCCTCTGGATCTGTTTATGCATCGGAAGAGCGAAGTTCTGACAACTCCTTGGAAATTCAAAGTTGCCAAGCAACTTGCAAGTGCCCTAAGCTACTTGGTAAGAAGTTGTTGGTAGTTGTGGTTTTGGTTTTCAGCTTGGAGTATTTTTATAATGATCCCCTATGCTATAGGTATATTTGACCACTTGCAGAGCACTGCTAGCTCACTGCACTCACTATTCTTTTCCTGCCTTACTGTAGGAAGATAAAGATTTGGTACATGGAAATGTGTGTACTAAAAATATCCTACTGGCAAGAGAGGGAATTGACACGGAATATGGTCCTTTTATAAAGCTGAGCGACCCAGGAATACCAATAACTGTGCTGTCCAGACAAGGTATGGTACAGGAATCAGATTTCTCTTTTCAGTGTGGTGGGGAAGGGGAAAGGAAGAAACACCATTTATACCAGCTAGAACTGGCTCTAGTATAGAAGCGATCAGCTTTCATAAATCTGAAAACTACACAGAAGTAAAGAAGTGTTGCTGACTTTGGGTATTCATTTCTCTTAAAAAAATCATGTTAAGTCTAGTGAGATAATATAGAAGGAATCTCAGTTTCTGGATGGCTCAAGGCATGAGCTTGTAAAAGCCACGGAATCACCCTTCTGAGAGCAGGGTTTTGAGAATCAAGATTTCCCTGGAACTGGACAAATACTGTAGCTTTAGTTTATTTTAGTTAAGCAGCTATTAGAAAAGAATAATTAAGTTACAAGGCTGGTTTTTTAGTCCTTCGATATTAACTCTAAAATGCATGGATTCTGTGTTTTATCTAAGAATGTGTTGAGCGAATCCCCTGGATTGCACCTGAATGTGTTGAAGACTCCAAAAATTTGAGCATTGCAGCAGATAAGTGGAGTTTTGGTACAACACTGTGGGAAATCTGCTATAATGGAGAAATACCGCTGAAAGACAAGACGTTAGCAGAGGTAAAACTATGTTATATAAACTTTACCTTGACATCTCAGATACATCCTCTTTGGCACTTCAGTTTCTGTACCCAATCTGAGTTATTTTCAACTTACAGGAAAACCAGCTCAGCTGGACTTGATAAGGGGCTGATCCACCTAAATTGCCACAGGCTGCAGCAGGAATTCTTGTACTTACTACAAAAATTGCTAATTACTGCTTCAACCTGACCTTGTTGGGGATTTTCAAAACTCAGCATAGTAACAATTAATCAGAACTTCTGATGCTCTCACACCTGTCCTTTTCTAAGCCTTATGTCCAGTTATAAACTGACTGAGGTTCCACTTAAAAGCAGCTAGGTTATTCTGTTATTGCTTGTTTCCTTGGGACATTAGTTCAGAACTAGTCTCCTGTGGGACACCATTATTGTTCACTCTAAAATCTAAAAAAAATTTAAATCGCGTTCTGCCTTACTGCTGGCAGTTTCTCTTCATCACTGCTGGAGTCCCTCAGCATATGTTCCAAATGTGCATTTTCTCTCTTGAAGTTTTGCTGTGTTGGGAAGGCAGTGGAGCAAGGCAGCTGCTGCTCGTCTGAAGGAAATGACTGAGTACTTGAGTCACTGCCCAAGTTGTTTTAACAGGAGGTAGCTGAAAGGAACTTGCTGCCCTGGCTACAGTCCGCTTCCTGCATGTGGCAGACAGCCGGGGTGGTTCTGCAGAGCTTAGAAAATGCACAAGCCCACCCTCATCCCATCTGCCCCGAAGCTGGTACCTTCTCAGGGGCTGTGAAGAGCAGCCAGTGTTGTGGTGTTTCCTTGGCAAGCATTTCCACTCAGTCATTCATCCCAGGGCATAAATAACGTGGCAAACCTGGCAGAAAAATAACTTCTGAAAGGTGAAATCTTCAGCACATTTTAGAAACTTCATGTGTTCTAAGTGGTTGCTCCAAAGTATGCCAGATTCCACTCAATAATGATTCTCTACTGTTGGGAGATGGTTTAGAGATGCTGAAAAGGAGGATTTCCTTGGCAAAGTTAAGTAAAGGTTCACAGTGAGTTAAGGATTGAACGGTCACATCTTCTGATGTAGAACATGGGTTTATTAAGTTAAAAGCTAAAATTCATGCCAGAGTTTTCATTTGTGCCTTACAGAAGGAGAGGTTCTACGAGGGGCATTTTGTGTTGGCAACACCATCTTGCAAGGAACTAGCGGACCTGATGAAACAGTGCATGAACTATGACCCCCATCAGAGACCCTTCTTCAGAGCGATCATGAGAGACATCAATAAACTAGAGGAACAAAGTAAGGCATGGTCTTGCTTATCAGCTGGAGGGAGGGATAAGGAAGGCTGGTTTATTTGGCTGAGTTGGGCACCTTACAGCAGCATTCTTCTGTGTGGTTGTATTCACAGGAGCATGTTGTGTCCCTACAACAATTGAACTAACCCTTTCTGTAGATGAGTGCAAATAGGATGCGAGTGTTTAATTCATACTGAATGTGTGGCTTAAGTTGTGTTGGTGTTTCTGCCGGTTCATTCGATGGTCCCTATTTTATACAGCAGCTTAAGATAGTTTCAGGAAAATCTTTGAGCTCCATGAGATTTCCATAGGACTCTCTTGACCGAAGCAGAGCATTAACATGGATAACTCTGCTTCCTGGTTAATTTTCTGTTGAAATTACGACAGAGCAACTAACAGACGCTCAGTGTGTAGTAAGGGTAGAACCTGACTTCGCACACCTAGTAAAAATAATCATAGAAGCTGAATAACTACTGCAGGGTGGGAAGTATGTCGAGAGAAAACTGAATCAGAATCTGGAAGAAGACCCAGTGAGCAACCTACAAAGTGAGGAAGATCAGCAAGTGATAGACTGGCACGTACAAATGGAAGGAATTCCCTGTCAAGAAGTAGGCAAGATTTAAATAAGAAAAACTGTGACAGTAGGGATAGACACACTCTAGCAGCGGCAGATTGGAAGTGAGCAAGAATGCCTTGAAGTGTCAAGACCAAGATGTTCTTGCAGGAATCCGTCTGACCTGGGACTTTTTTTTTTTTATCACGCCCAGATCCCGATATCGTCTCAGAGAAGAAGCCCTTTACAGAGGTCGATCCCACGCTCTTTGAAAAACGATTCTTGAAAAGAATCCGTGACTTGGGAGAGGTAAGAGGAATGTCAGATACAGAATGCGGATAAGTGTTCCTGTGTGTGTATACACAGCTGTGTGTGCTTTCTGTGTCACGACAGGAAGATGTGAATCGTAAATGCCTAAAATAGCGCATCAGTGACACTATGGTAAGTCAGTGTTGTGTTAAATAATGCTCTCCCTTCTTTTACAATTAGGGCCACTTTGGAAAGGTTGAACTCTGCAGATATGATCCAGAAGGCGACAATACAGGGGAGCAAGTGGCAGTTAAATCGCTAAAGCCAGAGAGTGGAGGGAATCACATCGCTGATCTCAAGAAGGAAATAGAAATCTTGAGGAACCTGTATCATGAGAACATTGTCAAATATAAGGGAATTTGCACAGAAGATGGTAAATCTTCATGTAGAATGTTAAAAAGTATACACTAAAAGTATAAGGGGTTTTGTTTAAAGATGAAGCATTTTAAAAGGCAAAACAGTCTTAGTTCAATCTTACGGGTTTAGATCTCTTTCTTCATGGAAGAAGCAGCAATTTATCTCTGAAGTCGTCCTGCGTTGCAGCTGGGTCATAACCCTGTAAACCCAGAGGTCGTTATTAGAAGCATACGTTACTCTTCACAGAAAAAAGCTCTATTGCCTTGTATTTTTTCCATTTGCAATAGTGATTGTTTTAAGCCAGTATTTAAAAACTTCAAAAACTTGAAGTTCAGTAACTATCCTGCCTGGAATAGATTCTCCTCTGGATTTGTTCAGTGACTGATAATGGGAGTTAGCCCACAGCCTGGCCATGGTCACGCAATACTTACGAATGCTTCTACAAAAGTTATTGGTGTTAATGACATGAGAAGGGTCATGTGTCTGCAAATTAAACACACACTCTTTTCTTAGGAGGAAGTGGGATTAAACTCATCATGGAATTTCTTCCTTCTGGGAGCCTAAAGGAGTATCTCCCCCGGAACAAGAACAAAATCAATCTCAAACAGCTTCTCAGATACGCGGTTCAGATCTGCAAGGTGAGCCTGGCACCAGAGCCTTCCTGCAACTCAGCTGTTTGATTAGTTTAATATTTAATTTAAAGGGGGGGGGGGGGGCAGGAAGAGAGGCTTGCTTGCTGAACAGACCCGTTCTCCTTGCTTTGTCCCCAAGGACCTGAATCTTAAAGCAGTCTCTCCCGTGCTTCAGGTGCTGCTGGCACAAAGATCAGCAAGGGAATAATCACTAGGTTCCCCTTCCATAAAAATTTACTATGAGAAGTTGTCCCTGCTGCAGAGCTGGAAGTATTAGGAGGGAGGACAGCATTTAGAAAGGGTGTGTTGGCAAGAGGGAAGGAGCACTGTGTAAGTCTAAGGTGAGGAGGAGATGCAAGTGCAGCGAGGCCACGTGAAGCAGTGTGCTTTCTGCAAGAGACTGTGGTTTGTGATTACGGTGGATCGGGCAGTTATAAGAAGTGTAGAGACATCTGTCAGTTTCAGCAGCACACAAAGGAACTGCTGCTGTGGAAAGAAGGGTGAAGATGGTGGCTGCTCAGCTGAAAATTAAAAAGCACAGAGCAGAAATAACAGTCTGAACAGATGAGGAACCCACAGGCAGAGTTTAAGGGGTGAGGGGATGTCAGAAAAGGACCCTGGAAAGTGCCAACAGATGGAGAACCTGCCGCAGGAAACCTGGGTAGGGTATTGCCATGTGAACAAGGGAGTGACTGAAGTACTGGAGAAACTAGTGTAAAAGGCTTTCTTCTTTCTTAGGGGATGGACTATTTGGGCTCCTGTCAGTATGTGCACCGTGACTTAGCAGCAAGAAACGTCCTTGTTGAAAGCGAGAACAGAGTGAAGATTGGAGACTTTGGTCTCACCAAAGCAATCGAGACCGATAAGGAGTACTACACAGTCAAAGATGACCTCGACAGCCCCGTTTTCTGGTAGTAACTTATAACTCATTTTCTTTAACCAGACTGTGCAGCAGAATAACTTGTCTGTTCCTGTAGACTTACGCTTTTTAGGTGTCCTGAAGATTTTCCTGTTTTGGAGCAAGGAAAAGGCACCCAGTATACTATACTTGTCTACTCTTGTGCTGTTTATTTCCTCTTGCGCTTGAATGATCCATTTTCCCACAATTTTGTTATTGGTCTCCTTTAGTTTCACAGTCGCTTGCTGTGTAACAGTTGTACCTTATTTACCACTTCTGTGGCATCCCAAGCCCTATGGGCACATTAGTTTATATCTAAGGACTCTATAAATGCAGAATGTGTTAGTTCCCTTACTTTAAATGCGTACGGCTTGTGCATGTATGAGTAGATCTGTGCAGCTCTGAATGAAGTTTAACGCTGTCACGTTGTGTCCGCAGGTATGCTCCAGAATGCTTGCTTCAGAGTAAATTTTATATCGCCTCGGATGTCTGGTCGTTTGGGGTGACACTGTACGAACTGCTTACATACTGTGATTCGGAGTCCAGTCCCATGGCAGTAAGTGACTGTGAAAGAAATTGCTGCTCAAGCTGCTTAAATCAGATTTTTCTCTTTTTTTAAAAAATTTATTATTTTTGGAAACAAGAAGTGGAATGAATCTCTTTATCTTACAAAAACAACCCTCGTGGTTAGTCTTTCACGAAAGACCCTGTACAGAGATAAGTTGTGGTGACTGCATGTCCCTGTGAGGAAACTGTATTTACAAATGTTACTGTTTTCTAATGTGAGTAGATGGTGCACGGTATCTGTACGATAAGCATCTACTGTTTGTTTTCATTTTGAGATTCAAATGTCATCTGAAAATCAAATTGAAACAGCCTGGATTTGCACAGGGTAAGACGATGTGCAGCTGACTCTGGCTCTTTTCACAGGAGTTCTTGAAAATGATCGGCCCCACGCAGGGACAGATGACGGTAGCACGGCTGGTGCGTGTCTTGCAAGAAGAAAAGCGTTTGCCACGTCCACCCAGCTGCCCAGAGGAGGTAATGGATGCACCTATGCTGTGATAATGGTGTCTGTCCTTTGACGCTCAGTTAGCAGCAAAAGTACCACACCTTCATGGTTGAATAGGCCTGGCTGCTCTTGGTAGGAAAGCCTTCAGGTTTGCTATTAGGAAGACATTTTCAAGTTTTTTAAGCATTATTTTAAACTGTTTTTTGACACCAAGGTTCCCAAAATTGCAACATCCCTTCAGAGGACTTAAGAATTTTGCTTTAGTATCTGGATCCATGTAAAATTCATTCAGAATCCTTCTGATTTTTGAAATACAGAGTTCCTGGGTGTGCAGCAACCCAGACCGCAGTGCACCTCAGCAGGGTCTCAGTTAGCAGACCCCCATGCACAGCCTGTCCTCTCCTGCCCTTGGAGGAGCCAGGAGGCAAGCAGACCCTGCCCTGGGGATGGGCTGTAGACCCCCAGCCTCTGCCAGAGCTGCAAGCCCAGAGAAGGCTGGAGGGAGGCAAGGGGCAGGGTGTTTCTGCCTGCCTGCATGGCTCAGTGCAGCACTGGACAACTCTGTGTCAGAAGGTCCAGAGTAGAACTAGGAAGGAGCTGCCCGTCCCGCTCTCCCGCAGGCTCCTGGTGCCTGAACCAGTACAGTGTTCTGAGGTGCAGCAGGCTGTGGGGGCCTGGCCCCTTGCCAACAGGCACTTACTGCTGTTAAACCAGTAATTACCAAGGTATGTGGTAGTCGTTTTGATAAAACATCCATTCCCGAAACTGTGACAAAGCTGTTGCATTGGTTTGAGCTGTCTACACTATTACCGCATCGTCTGCACTGTCAGACAAACATATCCCTCTACTTAAACAAAAAAACCCAGTGGTAACAGATACTTGGTAATTCTGATCCAAATCTGAGGCATGTTTCTGTCTGTGTTCTTCACTTCATAGTAGTGACAATCTGCTCCATTCTATTTACTGGAAAACGAATGAAATGTTTCACTGCTCCTTTAAACATTTCTCTTTTTTGTCGTTAGGTGGACCAGCTGATGAGGAAGTGCTGGATATTCAAACATGATGAACGGACAACCTTTCACAATTTGATTCAAGGATTTGAAACAATTATGAGTAAAATGTAATTCATTTTTTTTGTACTTTAATGTGTGTCAAAATACAAATGCCCAAGACCTTTCATTTTTTTTAACTACTGTAATTTGTACTCTGACTGTGCTAATGTGTTTAAAGGATTCTTTTCCCAACAGTTTTCCTTTTTAATTTTAGTCAACAGTTGGATCAAATGAATTAAAAGGTATGGCAGAAACAATAGCTTCAACTCTCTTTGCTGCTGTTATTGCCAGGCAGTTTTATCTTTATCTGATTATGGTCTTGCCACAATTTGAACTACCCAGATGAATGCGAACTGAAAGAGCCATGTCAAAAAATGCTGCAGTTCTCAGTGCAATCTGTAGCATTTAAAACAGGTCTGCTGTGTACACTTATTCCTTGAATAACTGAACTAGTGGACATAAGCAGACTTGATACAGTAATTTAATAATTTTCATGGGTTTTGAGGAGGTTTTAAAAAAAGTTTGGCTGACAAATATATTTTGTGTGCACTTAAAAAAAGCAACCTCTGGCATAAAAATCCAGAGAAGACAAAATCATCGGCGCATCTTAACCAGGCTGCAGTTCTGAGCTCTTATATGTATTTAAAAAAAAAAATAATTGCTTGACTGTCATGTTCACAAAAACAAACAAAAAAAGCATGGATCAGTGTGTATAGTTATGCATTTCATTGAGAAACCCTGTTTCTGGATAAATATACTTCCTTTTCCTAACTCAGCCCTCCCCTCCCACATTACACATTTCTACCCGCTGAAGTTTCTACTGTTTATGTAGCTATTGCACAAGCAACTGCTTTTCAGCTTGTACTGCCAGTGGACTACGGTGTGGTGAAATGTGCGTAGGAAATTAATTACATACTTCGGGTTAGAAAAGAAAATGGATCTGTGCACAGAATCTAGGGGAATTATCTAAGATAGGACTGAGCAACCGGGGCAGCTTCCCTTGGAGAGAAGAAAGAACCCCTCCAACACCCAAAACGGTCTGTTACCAGTGGTGCCGTCCAACAGGTGCGTCGTACTCGTTTTTTTGGTCAATGATTTCTTTAGCCAGCAGGTAAATTCATGTTAGCAGTTCTTCTGTGAAGCTGTTCATTTGGCCTAAGGTGATGAGTCTTTAAGTAACAGCATTTGCCTTTACTTAATTTGACTTACAGACTCAAACCATGCACTTGGGCAGTATTCTGTTAACCAAAGGGAAACCAGTGGGACCAGACTGGGACCATGTTATGTTTTATTGTCAGGACCAGATTTAGCATTCAAGCTGTAAGCAAGTCAAGTGAGGGCACTGTACTCTTTTTTTTGTAAACCTGTTAGGCTCTGCTAAACAGTGGTTTAACTGGAAATCTTTTGCTGACCCATTGCCTAGAACTGGGGCGATAATTTTTCTCAAAGCATTTTCAAAATCCAGGTGCAGTGGGGAGATACTCATTTCTGGCAATAACAGAAAGATGTCTTTAAATATCTATCTAAATATATATATAAAAAATTGTAATTATGAGCTGCAAGGAGGTCAGATTTATTTTTACAGTATTACCTGTTTTTTCTGTATGTCACTTATGAACCTGATTTAAATCTGTAAGCACTTTGTTACTCTTTATACAAACAAATCTAATAAAGTTTTTTTTTCTCCACATGCATACTTTTTTAATCATAAATTAAACAGAGAAAGATTTTTAAATGTACCTTTCATAGGAATAGTGATCAGAACATGTCTTCAAAACAACCTTTCCCTACATTAAATGCTTACTTTAAAGGTAGTCCAGAAATGTTTTCTTCCCACAGAAACCCACTTTAAATGCATACCAACAATTTATTTTCATTGAAAAGCATAACAAGTTGAGAAAGTTGCATATACAAACAGTTGGAACAAAACATTACAAGTGAATTTATCAAATACATACATGTAGAATCCCCGAAAAGCTCCTGTAACCTGCGTTGCTATTTGGCTGTTGTAAGCAGTTACTGCCTGTATGCACAGTGTGTACTAGCTATACAACCCAACTGCTGAGGGAGGAGTGATTTTGATTGTGGGTTTGTTATTTGTTTTGTTTTTAACTTTGAAAATATGTATCTTTGAAAGGCAGTTTAAGACACTTTTTTAAAAAGAAGAAAATCAGTACTGAAAAATGGCTTCAATATTGTCTAGCAAGATTAAGAAGGACCTGGGTTCAGTCCAAATGAATCTGCAGCAGGGTTCCAAGGCAGCAAACCCATACTGTCCATCACCAAGGGTTGGCTCATCGTTTATCTGTCACAAGCACTGGATTTCCAAAGTAATGATTTCTAAGTCTTCAGCTACAAGGATTAACAGCAGAAAAGAAAGACTCTAGCCAGAACTGCTTAATGAATAAGGTAAAAATACAAGTTGTTTTTTTTAAAAAAAGGGAAACAGAAATACAATCAAGCTGGGAAGCGATGTCCGTGAGGTGCCACTGCTCAGCCCCAGGCCCCAGAGGAGCTGGGCTGGGCGATGGGCAGAGGCAGCCCCGTCTGTGCCGTCGCTGCTGCGGTTCACAGTGTATGGGGGTGAGCCCGTACCGCACCCCTGGGACAGGTGAGTTGAGTGAATACCATTTCCTTCTAGTGAGAACTACTTCATGCAAAAGGTAATATGTAAGGAGGAGTGAAAACCGGAGCCAGGATGCTCTGCTCTAGCAGGCTTTGGAGTGCAGCAAATTTCAAAAGTTAAGATGCTCAGGAAAAAGAAAAGAAATACAGTGAGGAGCAGGAAGGCAGGATTAAAGACGTCATCCGAGAAGCATGTCAGTATTGCTTCTGCTCCAACTGTGAATCCTCCCGATCCAGAAGAAGTCAGAAAAAGTACAAGAGGCAGTTGATTTCTTCCACTTACAGTTACCTTTAACAGCGCTCCGCCACCTGACAGTGTTGCCGGCAGCCCTGCCTCAGTGACACGCATGCCTGTTGGAAGGAGGACGGTGCTTTGCCACATACACCGTTCTACACAGATGCATTCACAAACTGTAAATTACTTATTCCAAGGAAAAGCTGTGGATTCTTGGCCTAAAAGCAGATAAAGGTTACTTCATTGTCCAAGTATCACCTAGCCAAATCGAATTTAATATTGCAAGGCAGCACACAGTATAGCATCTTACTTTTAACAAACATTTATTGAGAACATCACAGAGGCTCTGGTAATACATTTGGTATAGCTCCATTCCAGGATTAAGAGGAAATATTAAAAATATAAAGGCTGTAAATGCAGAACTCTTAATCCTGGAAAAAGTAAGACTGAAAAAACCTCACATTCTGAGTTAAAAAAATAAGAAAAAATTACTATCAAGACTTCATCTTTTAACTTCCTCAGTCTGAGGACTAGAGAAAGGATCAGTGTTCCCTCCACAGTATTTTTATTGCTTTCAGCTGGTAAGCTACCAAAACTCACCAAAAGTTAATTTGCTTTGTCAGCTTCAGCCCACTGTTACTTCCAGCGGCAGATGACAAAGGAAACACCATCCCATCCTTTCAGAAGGCAAGTCAGACTACCCAGAAATGGCTAACCTCATAGCAATACCTACCGTTTCCTTGGCAAATTTGCCTGTTACAGAGGGTTGTTCCTCTTGGGATGTTCATAACCCACACAGAAAGAATAATTATTTGTCTGAAGTTAAGGCAGCAATAAATAGCAGAGGTACAAAAAGCCTGCCTTCACACCCTAAGGCAGGAGTGATTACTTAGGTCTCAATAAACACGCTTTTTTTTTAGAGAGGATTCTCCATAACGTACTGCGGAGCCCTGAGTCTGCTGGCCAAGGTACTCCATGGGGCCAGGTTCTGGGGAAGAAATGAGGTACGAAGAGCCTCGCTTCTCACTTCTCGCTGGAGCCACCTAAGGACAAGAAGAAAACAAGTGACACATGATCCAGAGCAAACGGCGTCAATAAATAAAGCTCCAGTCTGGGAATTAACAAGAACCAGGAGCCAGTAACAGACTCCAAAGGCCCGACTCCTTCGGCTTTAAGGTCCAGCTATACACAGCTCATGAGTCAGTGTTCGTGCCCTTTCCCCAAAAAAAACCACAAACCCAACCAATCGTAAATGCATTGGTGGCCCACCACACATGCATTTTTGTGAGGGCAAAGAGCTGGCTGGGCCAGGTGGCCGTGCTCTGCAGTGCACGTTTAAAAAGCAGTAGTGTAATGGCCATGCTATTACCCTGCAGTGTCACAGCAGCTCCAGCCATCTCCATCCTTTAAAGTAAGGCACCAATGGGCCACCTTTCATTCCTCTTCCTTTTCTCTTGGAGAGCTGAATGGGTTAAACTGCCCTGGCACAGCTATCACAGCAAGTCAGACGTCAAAGGACTTGGTTTCCAGCCGTGCCAAAGCAGGTTTGTGTTGCAGATTACAGGTAACCATCTGCCTCTTACAGGCATGAGTTCACATGTGATACCAAAGTGAAGGAGAGAGCAGTAATGGTTTGGTTCTTTAATCAAAACTTCATCTAAAATGCCTCACTCTAATACACAGAAAGTCCTGAGGGTCTCTGAGTAGGGTTTCTGGTAAGGGCACAGGTGACCTAAAGCTGCCCCACCACCAAGGGCTTCTTGGAGTACGCAAGGCTCAGGTTCAGTTCCTCTTTGGGATCCGTCAGAGCAGGACCTTGCACTATCCATGCACCTACAGCACTAGAAGCTGTACATACCCATTAGAGCCCACCACCCTAATCAATGACTCTTGATCACTTCTCTCTTTCCCCCAACGTGTCATTAATTTCATTACCAAATGGCTTAAACAGTCATCTTGTTCTAAAAGACTGAAGCATCTGCCCTGTAACAACCACCTGAACCTGGTCTCACCACATCCTGCTCAACCACACTGCGTGTCCTGGGTTAAGTCTGGCTCCTAGATCAGGAGAATCAGTGTTTTGGTTCATGTGGGAATGAATACTTTAGAAACCTTAACATTTTTCACAAACCAGGACACTAATTCCTTAACTCCATCAAAAGAACAGCTGTGCCGACCAAATGTCCCTGAGCTGAACACTTCCTAGCCATTCTCAGAAGCACCGCTTGCTAATTCACATTCACAACTCAAATTACACTCCGCTAAGTCCAATTTCATTTTAGCATGCACTCCTATCATAAATAGGAACTTGCTCAAGGAAAGACTTTTAGTTTCCCCCTGTCCTCTCTCTTACACTTCTAACAGCTCTGGGGATCTCACACGTGTATTGTAACCCTCCACCATGTCCTGGCTCGTGTGGCAGAGTGCAGCATCACCGCTGCGTGCTTCGTACAAACCTCTGTGCTCCTTCTGAACCTCTGAAATGCAGCTCACAGAAGCCAGAGAAAAAGGGGTTGCGGGGTTGCAGTAGGCACATGCACACGAGCACACACTCTTAACCGATACAGAGCCTCTTGGGGACCAGTCTCTGTGCCCTCTTCACTGAGATTTCTCTTCTGATTCCAGTAACAAGAAAAGTACCTCGCTGCAGAGACCAACTGTACTTCTGTTGCATCTATGCCAAGGGACCAACTGCTCTCTTTCTGCCATTTATGGCATCTGGCATTAAGACAAACTTTCAAGCAAGCTGCTCAGCATCACCTCCACAGACAAGCTTTCCTCTTTAGACTAGAAATAAACTGAAAGGTGTTAGTTAGCTCAAACTCCAGACTATCGCCTTGTCTTGTCACAATTTCACTTACTTCCAGTCCTACGGGAGCTGTTAGGAACCTGAATGTGCTCTCTTCTGCTGCACAGAGCTAGATTTCACAGCCCATGGTAACACGTTCAGGCTTTGGCCATCTTTATCCCAAGATATGTCAAAGCCAGCTCCAGCCTGGCCTTGTCTCCTATCCAGGAGTCACGAATTGCTACAGTTCTGTGTTCCTTCTAAATCTCCTCCAAAAAATGGGAATCTCATGCCAAGTCTAAGATGCGAGTTTCTGAATGCCAGAGCATCATGTGCTGAATCCGGTTACTAACCTCTGCGCAGCAAAGGGATTTAATACTGTGATGGAGGAGAGCCACGCAGGAGGCTGGGCCCCTAAGCTCTCCCAGGTCCGACTGCTGATTTCAGCTGTGACTCCTCTCAGCATGGCTGGACACCGTGTAAAGGGCCACAAGCTGCGCTGGAGGCTGGAGAGCCAGCTCAGCGTCCCTCCAGCAGCACTCAGAGAGATTATCATCACTCTCATGGCTGCATGGCTGGGGCTGGACTTCCAAAAGCAGCAGCTCCTTACGCTGATGGGCATACTTGCCTGCAGCTGCTCCAAAACAGATGACACTCTGGCTTTTAAGGTCTCTCCCATCCGTAAGAACAGGAGCAATGTGATTTACCTATGGCATGAGGGTATTAATTCCTCATTTAAAATGGTTTTCCTCCCACGATCCAGTTAAGAGTATTACGAAGTGGAAGCTGTAGGTAACCTGGACGCTGCTTTGACTTGCTAAGTCCACTTCAGAGGTTTTATCCCAGTGGCACTCACTGCAACATCTGCAGGTCAGGCAAAAAAACCCATCTAAAACCAGTGTGAACTACCTCCTCCTCCTCTGTTCACTTCCTACTATATCTGCCTCCTTCAAGGCATTTTTGCACGTTCACCCTCACAGATACCATCTTTCCAAGAAGTTTGTTCACAAACATCCAGCCTTCCTTTGCCTGTGGGTTCTGGTGGTCTGCAGGCAGTGAGGAGCACTGATCTCCAGAGTGCCGGAGGGCTCTGAGGGGGTCTGGTGCTGGCACGCCCTGCTCAGCCACTGCTTTTATTTATCACATCCACCAGGAACTGCGTGTGAACCTGAGCAACTCAGGATCCTGAGGAGCACGGATGAAATGGAAAAGCTCTGCCTTGGCTTGTTGTGGGTCCAAAGTCCACTCGGTGGCAGCATAACACAAATAAGAAGCGCTTCCACCAGCAGCTGGCTCGGGCTGCATCTGCAACCACTCTGCTTGGTCTCTCCTCTCACCTTATTTAATGGGTTTTGTGGAGGAAGCTGCAAGCTGCCTGGCTGGTATGATCCCTGGGCTCCACTGTAAAGTGTAGGCATGACCTGCAAGCAGGTACTGTAGTCTGGGTAAGATCCACCTGTAGATTCCTAAATGCAGAATGGGATCGATGATCAACCAGAAGTTGAAAGAAAATAGGTTTAACAATTCATTTTTACTTGATATAGTAATGAGCACTCATCAGATATGAAAATATCTGAGTCACACTCAATTGCTAAAAGGAGTGTACGATTTAGAGCAGCTCAGGCATGCAGCAATTTCTTGAGCAAAATGTAGGATGTGGGGGACAGTTTACCTTACACAATTCCTTAAAAAAAACAAAGCGTGCTTCTCATCGGTCATGGAAACCTCGGGCTGTATAATGGCCTGGGTGAGAAACAATCCTTCAACAGACTCACTGGGAAATAATGTTATGGTGTGCTGTTTCTTGGTAGGGGTATTTTAATACACTCCTGAGCTTTACAGGTAACTTCAGATTGTGGGATTTTAGAGAGAGGAACATTTATGCCAGATATAATCAAAAGCACGAGTATGAATCCTGGAGAGTGACTGTGCAGGGATGCCCTGCAGAAGGTGACCATGCAGTACCATTCGTCCCACGCTCTCTAGCCCCTTATTTCTGCAGTACCGATGGCAGCAGCCACTATCAACAAAAAAAGCAGGTGTCCAGACTCCAAAAGCACCCTTACAGCTGATGGGAGAAACAGCCAATGGAGACAGGAAGAAAATAAAAGTATTTCTCACCTCAGAGGCTTCATTTTCAAATTCATCGACTCTTGCCTGGGTAGAGTTATATGCCTGAGCATAATGCTGATACCACTGCTGAACAGCCTCCTATAAAGGAGGAAAAAACCTCTTCCCATTAGCTGCCTACTAAGATCGCTTTAAACGAAAACAATTCTTATGGCCTCACAGGACATGAGAATGAATAAAAGGCAAAGCTCTCCAAGAGGCATCAAAACATGTTTAACACCAATGATAAAGCTCAAACCGAATATTTAAAACTACGTTACATGCTTAAAAGATACACAAGGCACCACTGCCTTGGCAGTGGACACAAGTACAATGTAATTTCTGTTACATGGAAGGAACAGACAGTACAAATACAGCTGAATGATGACATGTGGCATCTCTGCACCTAAGTGACATCATCCGAGTCCTTCATATTACTTAAGATAATACTAGTAACACTAATACTACAATCTGACTGATTTTTTTGGACAGTATTTTAAGGATTTGGGGTTAGGAATTAAATGAGTTTAAAGCCAGTAATCAGATTCAAACAAAATATTCAAGACTATGTTAGTGCTTACATGAAACGCACAGCACAACGGCCCACAGGACATCTCTCTTGCTTCTCTAACCCGCAACTGTCACCACATCTGACCTGACTAGGAGATGGCTCTGGCCCCTGGCAAAGCTCCCTGCTGCAGCAAACGCCAGGCAGCGACCCCATCCCCTCCACCCCTCCTGACCAGGCTGAGACCCTCCTAAAACAGAACCACCCCCATGCCCACCCATGCACCCACCCTCTGTCCTCCAGACCCAACTAACTCCCACAGCAGCCCTGCTCTACTCCAGGAGTTTTGGGGCAACACAGATTTCCTTGCCAGCAGCCTAGGAGAGGGGAGCATAGCTTATTTCTGTCTCCCTGCCGTAGGAGAGATCGGGCGATTCTCGAGGAGGTGATGGGGACAGGGCAGGAGGAGACCTACAGCAGAGCCAGAGTGGATGTCTCAGCACAGACCCAAGATTTTTATACAGATTGCCTGACAGCACTACGATCCAGTTCTTGTATTCGATTTGTATACAATTATATTTCTACACAGACTAGTGATGGCTAATGAAAATATAGAAACGTTATTTCACAGAGTATCCCAATGTCTGTGAAACCCAGTGCTTGCTCTCAGTACTGCAACGCTCTCCAGACGAGGGGCAGCCCCCCACCTTAATGGCCATGCTCTGATCACCAAATGGGGCATATGGTGAAGAAATCCCATGCAGTGAAACCAGCTGGCAGAGACTGCAAAAATTCCTCAAGCTATACAGGAGCTTCTGATCGACAGAACACTCTCTTCTCTGGGATCTAGCCAAAGTTCAAGAAAACTTTACAACTTCTTGGGAAGGGGAAGAGAAAAACTTCATGGTTTTGAAGACAGACAAAAGCCAAGCCAGAAATGATAAGAAGTAATTTTTTAGCCGACTGCACTGAATTCAGGTTCTCAAGAAGCAATCTTTCAATGGTTATGACACTGCAGCAGGGAATGTATAGATGCTTTTTTTGACTGGCATTAGGTGTACTTCATGCTAAATCTATTCAGTACACCAAAAGAGATAAACTATCAGTGAAGAGGACCCAACAAGGTTCAATCTGAAGAGGGTAGGCTTTACTTGTAGGAAAGCCTAGGAACTGCTGAAGAGTGATTCATGATGTTGGGCAATGCTGTTCAACTGCATGCAGAGCTATCAGACCACACATGTACCAAGAAGTGCATTAAGAGTACACAGAGAAAAACAATGAGCAACTCAGGGAGGGATCTCTGAGCAGATCTCTGCCAAAGATCCTGCTACCAGAGCTCTGAGCGACAAACCAGGCTTCAGAAGTAAGTGCTCCAAAACAACGTACCTGTGTGTATTCCCCATGCTGTTGAGAGTAATTAAAATAATTTTCCATTGCGTGTTGTGATGAAGTTCCCTGAGACACAGCAGCATCCACAATGTTGTTCGAAAGTCCGGTCTGCTGTGGTGGACTAGAGGCTTTGCTGGCAATTGCTGTTTGTAACATGAAGAATACACGGTTTGTATAAACTGTACAAATTAGGTTGCACTCTTGTCTAGTAATATTCTGAGTTTAAAACAGAAATTTGCTACTTCATATTAGGCTGTGCTCAAAATTAATCAGTGCTACTAATAACTGAAAGGCTTTCTAGAAGTTTGTCTGCATCACTAAGTCCATTAACTCTGAAAATTTACCCTTACCAAATAAAATATTAACTATGGGGACAGATTACATTGCAATTTTAAGGCAGACTACAAAATTTCCTTAAAGATAAATGTTGTGGTCACTGGAATTACCTGCCAAACAGAATAATGATTTGCCACACTCTGGTCAAGGAAACTTGTAACTAAAACCACTTAATGTTTGCTTACCTGGAAGACATATACCAGGCAGCACACTTGCCAAATTCAAGTAGGGGTTGGTACTAAGACGTATTTCTTTTGGTGGTTCTCCTAACAGTGAAGTCTGTTTTTTCAAGGGAGTCTGTGAAACAATTGGACAGGTCAGTTTGCATTATATTCATACAACATTTGTCAGAAATAAGGTAAGTGTACCAGCAGGATTTTGAAAAAAGCTGAGGCCTATGAAATGTAACAGGAAAGCTTTTAAAATAAATACCAGGGTCAATTATCTGGACACATTGCCTGTACCTTTTTCTTGTCAAATAATTTTGTAGCAATGTTTCTCTTTAGACTGTAAGTTACTAAAGGATAGTAAAAAACAAATAAACAAAAGAAAACCTTTTACACTCAAGTAAAGGAATAATAATCACTGTAACAACTCCAGATGCAGGGAGGAGTTAGCATTAAGCACATGGCCAAGACAAAAATCAACTCTCTTCACCCAGAGTCACAAGCAAATAAAAGGACAAATGAACCCTGGACTGGAGAGATGACCCTGTCTGCAATCTGCCCCTGTTAACACATCTTACTGATCACTCTATTTATAAGCCCTTACTTAGAAAGTGAAAATGTTTATGAGTGGAAATGAAGCGTCAGGACTGACTCACTCCTCCAAACCACCAGAAGTGTTTCCTATGAGTAACTAGGAAGGGTACACTACCAGCTTATGTGTCCTCAGCTTATGTTAGAAAAAACAGCAGAAATAAGGATGAAGCACCTATAGCAAGTTACATAGCTTGTCTGAAATACATAGCTGAAAGACGTTTATACAGTATTCTACTCCACATCTATTCTGTTCATTTTTTCAAAGCCCATTAAGGAAAAAAATTAATCCGTTATTTTAATGGTTTAATACTATTTTCAGTAAAATAGTATTATTCAACAACTTTTCAAAAACAGTGAGACCAGTTTTTAAACACAAAAAGCTTCAAGAGTGCTGAAATTCTTCATCTGGATGCAAAAGCAGGAATTTAAAATAGTGTGACCGTTCAGTATCAGCATACAGCCTGTGGTTGTCTTGCAAGGAAGCGATTTTTGCAAACTGGGCCTTCTGTCTACTGATACAGAAAAGGAAACAATTAAAAAATCTACCAGGATTTCAAAAAAGAACTTTTTCTGATAAACAATATTCGTAGAAATAAATGAATTATCTAGACTTCTAATTATTTAATTACATGTCCTTTTAATTAAATGCTGAAATAAAACACTGATTTTATATATGTATACAGATACACCTTATGTATTTTCTCCATGTGTATCTATACATCAGTAAAATTCCACTTCATTACAGTAAAAAAAAAGATTTAAAAAATGAAAAGTGTACTTTCTGAAGTAGGACCAAATCTGTCAAAGCTGTCTAACAAAGGCAGCCACCAATCCTCTATATAATCTAGCACTTCAGATGCTTCAGAAAATACTTAAGGAAAACATAGATCTGATCTGAATTAAGAATGTTTCCCCATAAATGTCAAAGTATTTATGCATATTATAAAAAAAGTAAATTCTGTTGATGACAGGAAAAAACTTCTGAAAAAACTAGACCATTCTGGTTCAATTCAAATCCCATCCCATCATCCTCCTACTCCCTGCCTTCAAGGGAATAAATATTAAAACTGATACAGACTAAGAATATGTCAGCTATGGCTAAGAGGGTACGGATTAAATTTACATACATATATATATACACATACACACCCCCACCCGGAAACCCAAAAGCCTGACATACCACCAGAATTACTCCCGATTAGTCATGAAATTCAACCACAAGTTCAATTTTCAGTCTTTAAAAGGGACATTGCCCTTGAGATAATTTCATCATCAAATACTATGAGGCATACACATGGAAAAAAAACCCTCCAGCACTGTAAAAAGATTCCTTTGTTAATTCATTTGGACCACCAAAGAGCATTATTGTTCTCTCCCTATTATACATAACTGAAATGACCTTAAAATGTCTCATGAATGATCCTATGATCTAGCAAATTTTATAGCTAAGAACTACAATAAGCAGTTGCAGTTAACTATTAGGCATGTTAAAATAAAAAAAGAGAAAATCCACACACAAGAAAAAAGAAAGTATTTGTGTTCAATGTTCCTTACCCCCAAACTTGTATCAGTACTTTTTAGTTGATTTTGTTGTTTGGCATGTCCAGCCCGCAAAGCTCCCGCAGAAAGATTTGTTAAGGTCTGATGATAAGGCTGTGATCCCGAGACAACTGCTTCGGTAGTCGATTGTTTATCTGGAGCGTTATTCTGCCCTGGTATAGCTTGTCCAACAATGTGCTGATTCGGAAAGAATGGCAGCATGCCCATCCCTGCTGCTGCTGTTTGAATTGGAGTCAGATTAGATGCTGCAGTCAACCATAAATGGAGAAACTTTTCTGTTAGACAAGATTTATCAGTACATTTTGTTTGTGGTTTTTACTAAGTGATGAGAAAAACATTTAGACATCTATTTTACAGCTGTCCCAGAACAGTGGATTCTGGCAATAATTTTTATTCTTTTACCATCCCAGGAGCAAACAACTCTATTTAAAGCTAATACAATAGAAGAAAACTCTGACTTTTCTAAATGTTTACTATGAGAAGTTACTTAGTGTTTCCTGTCACTTTCAAAAAGCCTGCCAACAACATCCTGGAGAATCCTATATTGGAACAGAGGGGGAAAACACCACCTCAAATGGCATTAGTAAAACTCTTTCTACAAACAAGAGAGCTAGAAAGTATTCTCTAAAATTAAAATCTAGACATTCAGAATAGGTTTCTTCCCCACCCCCCCACAAGCTTTTCCTTGCTGCTGGTTACTACCATTGCTCACACCATGTCTAGAAGCGCAGAATACATGGCTCTCAGTGGAGGAAACGAAAAAGATGCAAGCAAGCAGTATCGCAACTGATCTTTCCTCATAAAAACTGAGGGCATCGCTGATGCAGAAATTTGCATTCAAAATTGACATCCATCACAGACCAGATGTTAAAGCTCTATTGCTTAATGAAATCAATCTAAAAAAACCTATTTGCGGTGCCTCTTCAGCTACTCAGATTTACCTGCTTTGAAACAACAAACCCCAAAATTTTGATCCTAAATAAAAACAAATTTCAAGTGTACTAAAAATAGTAGTAACTGAGCAAGCAGAATATTTAACAACCTGCAAATATTCAACCAATGCCACAGCGTACTCTTTCTTTCCTGACAAACAGATGAGAGAAGCCTGGCAACAAGGCAAGATATCTCAAGTTTGTTTCTTGCTTAAATCAGCAGTTTACGATTGGTTATACAGCTATAAAACTTGTTACCTTGCTTATCTATATAGCTATACAACATCTATTATTGTCCAGCTCTCTGCCTACCTTACTGTGCAGTGATAAGGTTCAAACATATTATTGCTTTTGCTACAGTGGGAGAAAATAAGGTGCATAATTTCAGGCTAAGCAATTCTACTGATTTGGTATGTAATAAAATGTCATTTACACTTAAGAGCTTCTCCACGGGTTCCCATGCCTGAACTCACTGATGGCATTACCCCTATTCCCAGTACTGTCTGAAGTAGCATTGTTGGAGGTTCTCCCAGCAAACCCGGTTTCTATAAGGAAGAATAGAAAACTGTGTAAATGATTAAAATAATGTCTGTTGCTATTTCTTATAACTTTCACATTCAGTTAATCTTTTTAGATACACTAAACTGTTAAATTATACTAGATAAAAAAAAAAATTGTTTTAGCAGTTATAAGAATGTCCAAGGACAGCTGAAGTTAAAGCGATGACCTTACACTATTAGCCTGAATGTTTTCAATCTTCATCAGTTGCTGCTGTGGCAATGGTAGGTGAGCAGGGCTTTGCAGTAGTAAGTTAGATGTACTCCCCAGAATTGAACTCTGTGAAATTATTAAAAGAAGTGTTAGTTGACAGTCATGGAAAACAGTACATTCAGATGATACTGCTTAAAGAAATTTAAATTAGTTTCTGAGTTAATACAGCAAAGGAAAATAACTATTTCCTCCACAGAACTAAATTTTTGCCTCAGTCACAGAGACTTATTTCAACTTCTTTTAACCCCTCTTCCGCCTAGCCCTTTTTTTCATCTCACAACCACAAGTATGCTTTCTGATGGCTTTTAAAGGATCAAGAGTATACTCCAAATACAATCCAGACTCCATTGCAGCCCCTGTGTCTAAGCCAACAGGGAAAGCTAAACGTGTTTGAAGCCTCTGCAGACAGACTAGATAGGGGAGTTACCTACTATGCCAATAAGAAAGACGAGACACAAGGCTTCAGGGGATTATGTGGTCTATGAATAAGGACTTCATTGTTTGTTAACATTTGCATTGTGCCTTGCCTTGCAATTCTAATACATAATCTCCGCCAGATATCTATACAGTTTACAGGACTTGGCTGTAACCGGCAGGGACTCTCATCCCTTGCTTTACAGTTACCAAACAGTATCTTTACTTTCAAAGAGGAATATCCGGTTATGTTTTTCCAGCCTTTTTAGTGGCAACTACCTACATGAAATTCTATTCCAGAACCATTAAAAAGCTTACAAATCATAGTGCCTACAGATTTTCAAGTCTATAAAATATTAATATTCTTAATTCAAAAAATTCTGGATCAGTTTGCCACCAGAATTGAGCCACTTAACAACTTTGTTGCACCATATTCAGACTCGGCTACTGGTATATTCAGCATTATGTGCTCTGGCTAGCACAGCGGCTTAAAAGAAACCTTATGCCCACTCTGGATCACAAAACCACATTATGATTCATGCTAGCTGAACACAGGCTTGAAACTGTCTTTCTGGCAGCAGCTCCTGAGCACAATTTGCCAGGCAAAACATAGGTTGCTCTACAAACCTTTTTGTACAGTGGTGCAAAAATAGATATATGGGACATTGACTATGTCAAATCACAATGAGTATAGCCTTCCTAATATTTTTTTTGAAATCTCCTACATAGGAAAGATCACCAAACCCAGGTAATTATGATGGAACCCAAAAAGAAGGCAGCTCTCCCGATGCTTGGCTTTGCAGATTGTGCAGCCTCCTGCAAAACACCTCACAAGTATTTTCAAGCCTAGGTTGTGTCTCTATGTGGCAGGGTCAAATTCCCTAGGAAAAAAAAACTCTGTGCCTATAGTATAGTCTTCTGGACTCATAATGTGCAATTTAAAACAAAAAAGTGCCATATCTAGATTAGTTATGCATCTGCTATTTTAATTGTCCAAAGCGATTTCCAGCAGAAATTATCCCAGGCTGTTTATTGTAACCAATACCAATGGTTGTTCCCCCTAAACTTCGTTACATCAACGAAGAAAATGTATTAGTTCAATTGCAAAACTTTCAGAAATACAAGAGTGGAAAATCAGTTAATAAAGATATAATAAACTGCTGGATGACTCAGGAAAACACATCACTGAGAAAGTTTAAAATGCATTATTTTGGCACATGATAACTGTAACTAAGAGAAATTAAAAGAAAGAAGTTGAAAGTCGTGCTACCTCCAGAGTTGAAAGATTACTGGGTAAATAACCCATTTGTTCAAATTCCCCTCTGTTGAATCTTTTATTATAAATTATTTTATAATGATGTGGCATAATCATCCTAAAAATGCTGTTTCTTCTCATTATATTACTTTACAAAACCTTGAATATAAAATAGCAAAACCAACATACACAGGAAGCTGCATCAGTGTGTGACTGGGGAGGTGGGGAGAGAGTCAAGCCAAGACACTGTGTGTTCCTCTATCTTGTGACAATACTGAATTTCAAGACAATAAAAATAGTGACCTGGTTCTCTGGCTTTAGAGAATGCTCTGAAATAAGTCACTGAGTAACAGAAAAATGTGCCTAACAGAAGGAATTGGGATAAGCAAATCATTCTCAATAAAATTCAGGCTATTAGACCAGGTTTGGAGCTAATTAAATGACAGGAAGCTCCCTGGAAGAGAATTAGACTTGTAAGTCTCTCTAAAGAGAAAACACTAAGTTGTTTGGCTGCAGCACTCTTGAGCCAAAAAACATTGGATCATCATCAATCACACTGTTAACTGGGTAAAACATGCCTGTCTCCAGCTGCGATTAGAAAACATTCACATTGCCTTCCAAGGAAGCATAGACTCTCCAAGGCTGAAGAGAGAGCAGCGGTAACTAAATATACCAATTGAAAATGTCATTTAAATAAAAGAAGTACAAGCAAGGAATGATGTATTTTTTCATTGTACAGGACAAAAGCAATTAATTTGAGGGGGCAAAATTAAGTAGTATTTATTCAAAATGAATATATTCACCTACTAGTTTTTAGCAGAAAAAAAAGAAAGGCTAAATATACTTACACAAGGAGTATCTCTGCATTTTAATTCGGTCTTTTTTAAGATCTATGAGTCTGTGTTTGCCAGAAGAACAGCAGAAATAACAACTAATACTTGAGGGGATTTTATTTTTTAAATAGGAATTTCTGAAACATCAGAATTAGTAAGTCAAAGTGACTGACTCCAGTCCTTCACAGGTACTTATGAAAATCTCTGCCATGAATATTAAAGGCAAATTTTGGCTGCTGGCAGAGCTGGACAAATCTCTGACAGAACCTCAACGCAAGGTGGAGGCCAGGCAGGCTGCTGGCCAAGCACACTGCTGCAGGGAGGAGTTCTGGTTGTGGGTGCTACTCTAGCATGTTCTCATCACCAGCTTCTCCGGCAAACTCATCCCAAATATCCGGTATAGTATCTTTCAGAAATTCTGGTGTCCATATGGAAGTCACATCAACTTTACAGTGAATTACAGATACTCCGAGAACACTTTAAACAGCTTATAACCTTGGGAGTTTTTTGACTAAGAGGTAACATCTGCAAATCACTATTTTTTTATGGCATATATAGCACATTTTAGTCCCTGCAAGCTTTAAAATGAAGATAATGATGCTAAGCTTGTTGGCTTGAATAAGATAAAACAATCAAGTCTCTCTACAGGAAGTGTGTATGAGCAGTTCCAAGAGAAATGGATGTGCCACGCTCCTCGAGCGCTAATTTAAAGATGATTTTTTTGGCCTGTAATGGCAAGTTGTCTCTACATCAGCAGGTGTTAGCAAATCAAAAGCTCAGTTAAGATAAAATAACTCACTTGTGGATAGTAAGCACAGTCTGCTCTTACATCCCCATAGGCATCTCATAATAAAGTGCTTTTCTTAAACATAGCTTTAACGAGAACACTTGATTTTAGTTGTAATTTCTTAAAACTTTGAGAGTATTTTTCATGCTAAGATCTGCACAAATATGTATTTTGACAAAAGTTTTTTTTGTCACGTACCTGATGAATTTTGTTCAGCTGCAAAAAAGGTGGGCCAACTGCTGAATTTATAAGGTGGGGTAAACCTGCAGATGCTCCAAGAACTGTTTGAGAAACACAAGACAAAGTAGCAGTGTTTTATAAGTTAGGCAAGTAAAGATCTTTAGAAGAGTTATTCTCTATTTTTCAGATGTGGTTTCCACAAAACTTTCCAGTATACTAAAGGTCACTATAATGAAATCTTTCAATACACCCAGCTTTGATCTGCAGTTAACAGCATTAGAGATCAAATGTACTGTCATGGAGCTCCTTTAAAGCTGAGAGTTTTGCTCAAAGAGGCAGAAATGTCTGCTGTTGACTGCAAGACCACAGCATTATCTAAAGTGCTTTGACACTTCAGCATTAGCTAAAGTGTTTCTTCAATAAAGTGCTCACTTCACACACAATTTGTGTATCTTCTGTCAGTAGGTTATGTCACAAACTCTTAGCTGTCCCCCACTTGACTCTTCAAATTATCTGTTCTCATTCCTGTTCTGAATACTTTCACCATTTGAAATGTGCTAAGGTTGTTTTTAATATATTTATTCACATCCATCCTAATGAGAAGGCAGAGAAATGGTTTTGGCTAATGCCGTTATGAAGTGCTGTGTATGACTATGGTAGCATCCAAGTGAGTAAAGATTTACATTGGAAACAATAAGAGAAAGACTCAGGCTGCAAAATTCAGATCTAGAATCAGATTTAAAGTTGCCATTTTTATTACTGCAAAAGACATTTCATTTTAAACCCATTTCTAATATAAACACTCAGAGACCACAGAGTTAATGTGAGGACGTTTTTAGGTAACACTAAATTTTACCCAGACACAATAGTGTAGCAATCTACCTCTTGCTTTTGCTTTCATAAAATGCAAAAGTGTCTACACAGACACACTGAAACAGTGTCTGCACAGATTTTAAAATAGTATTCCTGCTTCCCTCCTTTGCTGAAAGCCTTGTGTCCTGGTTTCAGCTGGGACGGAGTTAATTTTCTTCTTAGTAGCTGGTGCAGTGTGTTCTGGATTTAGTGTGAGAATAATGTTGATAATACACTGATGCTTTAGTTATTGCTAAGTAGCACTTATCCTAAGTTAAGGATTTTTCAGGTTCCCATGCTCTGCCAGCAAGCAGGTGTACAAGAAGCTGGGAGGGAGCGTGGCCAGGACTGCTGACCTGAACTAGCCAAAGGGATATTCCACACCGTAGAACGTCATGCTCAGTATATAAACTGGGGGGAGTTGGCTGGGAGGGCCAGTCGCTGCTTGGGCATCAGTCAGTGGGTGGTGAGCAACTGCATTGTGCATCACTTGTTTTTTTTCATGGTTTTTGTTTGTTTTTTTTTTAAATTAATTATTGTATTATATTCCTTTTCATTACTACTATTATTATATTTTATTATTGTTGTTGTTAGTATTACATTTTATTTTACTTTAGTTAGTAAATTGTTCTTATCTTAACCCACGAGTTTTACTTTTTTTCTGATTCAGTGAGCGAGCAGCTGCATGGTGCCTAGTTGCTGGTTGGGCTTAAACCACCACACCTTGTATCACCAAGAACAGGGTTTTACTGTTTTTTTAACTCAGTTTTAAGACAACTTACCAGGTTTAACAGCATGTCCACGCAACTGGGGCTGCAGTAGCATTTGCAACATTGCTGGATTGTTAAAACTTTTCATAATCTGCACTGGATTTGGCTCTGGAAGCAAGCCTTTCCTGTTGTTCCTCATCTCCAGTTAAGAGAGATACAAAAAATGTTAGAATCAGGAGAAAACAGAGAATACATTTAAATCCCTCAAAATCATGTGCCGGTAATGTACATATTTCATTTTACACAGAAATCTCCTTCCCTGTGTACTGCTCCTTTCCATGCTCCTTTTCCCTCAAATGAAACGCCTAACAAACTATTTCCCCAAAACTTCAAGCGTATTATTTTTTCCTGAGACACGTTTCTTTTTTTCCCTTCAACCAAGAGAGAGTTATCAAAAGGAGAATATGAAAGGCACTTTTAACTTGAACACCACATACTATCTTATAATAGCACTACTCATCTCTTTTATAAAGATGTAGGCTAAAGCTAGCCAAAGTAATGAGACTGTTCTGCTTTTACTTTTAAGACAGCTTCATGTAACACTTATCACATCCAGTGTTCTAGGAAATAATTTGATAAGACATGTGGGTGTAAAAAGCTTTCTTCTAGATCGAGCATGAAACTAAACTATTTCTTCTACCTTGAAATTTATCTTAAAATTGACAAATTCTTGCCTCTCTGTTTCAAACTAAGTTTTAGCTTGTCAAATGACTCCATTTCCAGTTACTTTTGTTTTGAACTGGAATAATTAAATTTAATAAAATCCCAGCGCTATACAAGTACAACTTTGTGATATCTTATGGCCATACTTTACCCTCCCTCCTTGCAGAATATGGCCATGCTTTTCCTGGGAAGACTGAATTGGGCTGACTAGACTAAAAAAAAAACCAAAAAACAGGCTAATGCTTTCAAAAGTTTGGCTCGTTTTCCTAATGCAAAGCAGCTGAATCCCTCTGACCCTTCAGGCTGCTCAAGGTGTACCAAACTCATTCTGAAAACAGATTTGGAAATATCTTACCATCCTTTGCGCTGCTATAAGTGCTGCTAACGTGCTTCTGCCTGGCGCTCCTGGAGCACAGTACGACACCTGGACTCTCTTTCCTTTGATAGTCATGCCATTGGTGACTTCTTGTACTTTCTCAGCCTGCTCTGCAGTTTCATACTCAACCACTGCAAAGTCACCAATATAACTATCTTCATCCTGAGCAAACTGAAACAACATTTCACAATACACTGAACAAAATGGAGAATTTCAGGAACTGCCTTGCAGTGTTTTCACCTATCCCTTGCAAAATACTTCACAAACAGCTGACACCCTATGTTAATGCCTACCCAGATCAGTATGTTTCTTTCTCAAACGTGCTAGATATAAGTTGAATATCATATTTTCATAATACTTGGCACGCATGCTCTTGAATTACCACCTTCCCTTCAATTTAATCTCATGGAGAACCCAAGCTATGAAATGTATTTAACACATATTTCCAGAATAAGGAAAGAAATAAGAAATAAATTGTAAAAACAGCTGTATGCTACAATAATTTTTATTTTTATTTTGCAAGATAAGAATTATAAAGTCATTATTGTTCAGTTTTTAAGCCTACAATAATAAAAATGTTATTCATCAGGCTACATGATAGCTTTTGAAACATGTAACAATGCAAATTCCACCAATATATACTGCCTTTTAGGAGAATATGAAGTCTGTCGTTGTATTTAATGCCAAGAGAAGCTGCCAGACTGATCAATCAAGCAGACTGGAAACAGGCTTACATGTCAAACAATGCTCTGTCCTTTGTTTGCAGAGTTTTATAGCAGAATGAGCAGATTTAAATCAAGCAAAAAAGGGGGGTGAGAAGGGAGGGAATAACTAGCTCTGATGTGGAAGAGAGCAAATCTCCTCTAGATTTCACTGGATAACATTAACCTATTCCCAACTATTAGGTCCCACAAACTTATACTAACAATCGAAATATAAATCACAAAGATTTTGAAGAAAAATAGGGTAGTCAGATCTTTAACGTCACTGTTAAAGACTGGCCTCTGGGAAGAGCTCTGGAGAACACACATATTTTGATATATAAATACACACATAGCTATGTATGTATGTATGCGGGCAGGAGTGTCTGTGTGGAGAAGCATTATATTTTATTTTGACATCAGTTTAGCTGCACTGGTAAAGACCTGAAGTACTTGTGAAAAGAATGATTTGCAGCTATGGAACATATCATAGTTCCATGCACGGTTAAAAACTCCCTTAACATGTGAAAAGCAGCGATCAGTATTGCAAACAGATCAGGAATTTTTAAACTTCCTAAGTAAACAGGTACTGAAGAAAAGCCCTCTGTCCCTATCTAGGTAACAGTAGAGACCTTCTAGTGACAATTTAAAGTTGACATCAGAAAGGAATGAGGTTTTCTGGTCCATTTTGTTGGCGCAAAGGACAAAATGTGTTCCTGTAAGTCCTAGGAAAAGCCATTTTTCTAAGACCCACTTATAAGTATCTGGCTTCAGCTCTTCCTGACAGAACATTTCTATTGTCAACAGAGGAGAAATCAATTTATTTTAAAAAAATGGTAACTCTGGAACAAAATGAAATAAACCAGAGTTTATTTCATGAGTTCAGCTAAGAATTTTAGGTAAAAGATCATATTTACATGACGAAATACTGCATCAGTTACCAGCAGAACTAAGCCACGAAAGCAGCACAAGACAGCTAGGTTAAAGAAGCCATACCAGGAGATGGGCAAAACGATCAAAGTGACCCTACTGGAGGGACAATCTGAATGCAGGAGTGGTGTGAAGGCTGGACTGGCCAAGACTAGAAAAAGGAAGGAAGAGAGAGACTGTAGTCACGAAGATATAAAATAACAACAGTATGAACAAGCATTTTAATTGTTTCTCTAAAACTTCCAGGAGAAGTTTTCCAGACAAAGGCACTTCTCCTAGTTATTCTCTATTGAAATCCCCTCCCCACCCAGTATTCTGCTACCCTGTACTCTCCTAGTTTTCCTCTTACATCTCTACCCATCATGTCACACTCCCCTCCTTGCTTTTTCCACAGTTTCTTGGGTCTTCCTCCTCCGTTCTTTGAACTTAATTTTTAGGTCACCTCACTCAAAGCCCTAATTAATTAGCACTATTGTGATGAAAATTCATCCACCGTCTTCCCTTTTTCATCTGTCAAATTTGAACTACTTGTTTACCTACCTCCACCCTCATATCCTCCCTCTCTAGAGGGCTGATTCCCCCATTAGCACATGGGATTCGTCCATCACTCTCCCATTACGTCTGCAAACCAGCACCTCTGCTGCCTCTCCCCGCCAGCCCTCGAGGCAGAGCCTCCCTTACCATTCAGTACCTGCTGGATGCCCAGTGGAAACATGAGGCATGACTGAGAATAAATCACATGTTTATTCTCTGAAAGTCACTGAGAATAAATCGGAAGTTATCATAAGTAAACCTGTTTTTCTTCTATTATCATACTTCTACGATCTACCTATTAGTCTATTACACAGTGTGTTTATACAAGTGATAGGTAATATGAGAAACGTGCCAAAAATGTTTTCTTGGATATAATTTTGACTGGCTGCCTATTTCCTAATTCAAAAGCATACTGTTTATTTCCTGTATTTTACAGAAACATGTATTTAGTGCCATTTACTGATACAACGCCTACAAAAACAGACCCTCCTCACCTACACCCGGTGTGACACATGTATCATTACGAACTAAGAAGGAAGGTAAAAGTCAATTTTTAAGTGCCTCTAACTGCACAGTGCAATACTGTTTAGTGAAAACTCTTTATCAAAGAAGGCTGTTATTCTTTGAACCTCAGAATTTTTAAAGGGTGTTGAAAAATTGTTGCGGAGGCTGCTAACAGCCTCCAGATTATCTGACAGCTGGAAAAAAGCCCTCAAGTAAAAGACTTTAAAAAGATCAATCTGGTTAGCTAATTAAACAAAGATTCAGCAAGTAACTTGATTACAGCATTTAATACCTTCTTACAGGAAGAAAATAGTGGGGAGCAAAGGCTCCTCAATCGAGTCATCAGTGAGGTGAAGCTGAAGCCAGATACATTCAACTGAAGAAAACAGACACAAGTGCAAAATAACAAGGGAGAGGCAGTCAGTTTCTGGAGAGTTACTTCCAATTTATGCTTCTCCTGGTATATTTGGATCAAGCAAGTATAAGGATGTACTTTAGCCAACTATTAAGTACTGGGGCTTGAAAAGAGCACTAGGGAAAATGTGATGGCCTGCAGGTGGTCAGACTAGACAGCCTGATGGACCTCCTGGTCTTAGATGCTGAGAATCTCTGGTTACTTATCCCTGAAGCTAATCCCTGAGAAGCCGTCCAAGATACTTAGGAAAAAAAAAACCAAACAAACCAAACAATGAAATCACCCCCAACTGTGTAACTATAAAGCAAGCTTTCTATCTACTGCCTGTTTATGGTACGCTGGTGTGCACCACTTCTACGAGCAACATTTTATTTGTGGTCTAGTATCTCACAAGCCATGATGATGAGAAGGAAACCTTTACACTTGCAAAGGCTAGTAAGGATCTAACTCTTCTATACCAGCAAGGTTTCCAAAAGATCTACCACTTCTATCACTGGCAAGCCCAGCCAACAATGAGATCCCAAGCCTGTATCTTCTCCAGTTTGGGAAAAAACATATGAGATATTTGCAAAAGTTTCTTAAAGAAATTATATATTTTATATATATATATATATTCATTCTTGATCATCCAAACTGTTGCACTTGTGGTATTCAGACACTCTGGCTTTCTTCACTGAGCAATAAAACCATCATCAATGTTTACTTTAAAAGCTTTCTAAAATATTTCTAAAATTATTTTCAATAAAATACATGAGGAGGGTATGTGTTATAAACATTTTATTGGTGCTTCACAAGAGTGGTCTCCTGCCAAATTCCCAGATGACATCGACCAATCACTGCAAACCCATACCAATAAAGCATCTGTACCACATCGTATACTGCAATGCAGATGCATAACTATTCACTACTTAAACTAGAAATAAAAGGGTAATAGAGCAAGTAGTGAAGGTGCAAATACAGAGCTACTTAAATCACGACCGTAATCTTCCAAAAGATACAAATTCAACATACCTGGCAGAAAACAGGTTTATACTTTAGTGAGAAAGCTTGGATCAGTTCTTTTGAATCACTGTAGTCTTTTTGAAATTTATCTACGCAAAGGCACTTGGAGTGAATAAGATTTGTCGTCAGCTGGTTCACATCCATCCACTGTGCAAAGAGAGTGCTCTCGTCTAACTGTTTCCCCAGAAGTTCCAGTCTCGCCTTTGCAGCAGAGTCCTTCTTCATATATTCCACAAAACCATAGCCCTTTGAATGGCCAGTAACTTCGTTATAGACCAAAAAACACCTCTCGACATTGCCATATGAACGCACAAGTTCTTCAAACTCTTCTAACGTAAATGAAATGGGCAAATTAGTAATGCAAAGCAAAGCATCTGTTGGTTGGAGTTGCACGGATATTTCTTTTCCCCGAAGAGAATACTGGTGAAATTTCCGAATCGCGTTTTGAGCCTGCTCTCCATTTAACAGAGTAACGAATGCTGTAAGACCAAAACAAGTTAAGTCACCTACAACTGCTTCTCTCCAGCTACAGAGATAATTACTATACCTCTTCCTCCCCTAAAACCCACTAGTGTGTGTCAAAGGAAAAATAAAAATTTGGGATTTACCCTGAAGATGCAATAGGTAGGGATATGCTGTATTATATATATTTTAAAATCTGACATTATCAACTGGATGAGTATTTAACTAAAGGAGTGACTACAGAAACACAAGTACACACAACCTCACTACCTGTAACACAAAAAAAGTTTATATTTGGGAAAGAGAAAACAATTAAATTTTATGCCGAAGTCAACAAATTACTGATCCTACGGAATTTCTTTGATGACAGCATCCATAAATTCTCACAGCAGGGCTTCTAGATATTTTTGGGGTTTTCATTCATAAAGCATTTCACAATCACAGAATCACAGACTGTGAGCATGAGGATGAAGTTGGAAAGAACCTCTGGAGGTCATCTTGTACAATGCCCTGCTCAAACAGGGCCACCCATAGCTAGTTACGCAGGGCCATGTCCAGATGTGTTCTTAGTATCTCCAAAAATGGAGACTCCACAACGTTTCTGGGCAACCTGTAACAGTGTGTGGAGACCCTCACACTGAAAAAGTGTATCCTGATGTTCAGAGGGAAACTCCTGTGATTCACCTGGCACCGCTTGGCTTGTACCCTGTGAATTAAAGAGGATGTAACAGTCTGCAGTGAACCAAGCAGATGAAACCTAATACATGTGTTTCCTTCCAATGACAAACTGAAGTGCACAGCGAAAGCAGGCCTGGGTAAAAAATTTATTTCATTTCAGAGAAAGACAAATGCAATTCTTGCACTCCAGGCAGAGATACTCTCAGCATTGCAAGCCACTCATCTCGTCGATGCACAGCTGGCCACTGGGCCATGTCTTCAATGCCAACAGTGTGAACCATCACATTCAGAAAACTCAACAAGCATCTTTCTTCCAGAATAACCCTCAAACCCACAAATCTCAGCAGCAAGTACCACCCAAATCTTCAAAACAGGGCCGTGAGTACCACCTGCTGCTTTTAATTCTCTTCTAATCTTGGCTGAGCTGCTGCTCTTTACATTCATCCTACAGCCTTCTCCTTTCCTTCCCCAGCAACAACAATTCTTCTTTTCCATTTCATTTCATCGTTTATTGAACTGTGCCTTCTCATTTGACTGCTGGAAAAGCAGGATCACATGGATGCAGCACCAACTCCAGGCACCAGCCCCGGTGATGTCACAGCCATCACATCACATCACAGCCAGCAGACTGTGATGTGGACCACCAGGAGCAAAGGCACTGGTAACACGACGAGCCCCAGAAGGGTATGAGAAGGGCTGCGCCAAGCCAGACTGGCAGACGAGGGGGCAGATGAGGGACGACTCAGAGGAGCAGGCACCCAGTGGAAGGCAAGGAACCTGGGGCTCCCCACAGCAATGGAGGGTGACTTCTCTTTGGCTGCTTCTCCTGAGAATTACAGCCAGAACCCTGGAAAGGGACGCAACAAGACGACGGCCCCTGTCCTCCCGCACCTCGTCAGTCGGACGGAGAGCTCTCAGCACACTACAGAACAGGTAAGGACACCCCTGGCCTCTACCCATCCCAGTCTTGCAGGGAGCTTTCCAAAACCACAGGCAAAGGGAACGCCACAAAATTGTCCACTTGGGGGCTGAGGGCTGGGCCCAAAACAGAGATCCTAGCATCAGCCACGGTGAATGTTATGGTCACGTCACAGCCAGCAGACTAC